GAGCAATAAATGGGGGAGGATCTCTGCCCTCCAGGAACTCCCAAGCCAGTGGGAGAAAGACATAGAAGTGCAGGGTTACAGTATTGAATACTAAGTGCTGAGAGAGAGGCGGAGGGGCAGGCAATGATGGCATTATTGGGTGGCTGCTCTGTGCTACTTTCTTTTATGGTGTTCATTATGTGTAAGGTGCTATTTTAACTGCTTACAAACCCACCGATACTCATCTGAGAGAGTTACTAAGATGGTCCTGTTTTCGTTTAAATTTTATTTTCATTATTTTATGTGTATGAATGTTTTGCCTGCATGTATGTAAGTGCACCCATGTCATGCAAAGACTGCAGAAGCCAGAAGAGGGCATTGAATCTCCTGGAACTGGAGTTGTAGACAATTGTTAGCTGCCATGTGGGTGGTAGGACTAGAACCCGGGTCCTCCGCGAGAGCAGCCAGTGCTCTTAACCCCTGAGCCATCTCTCCAGCCCAGATGGTCTCATTTCAGGAACTGAGAGGTTGAGTACAAGTAGCAAGTTGCAGCTTCAGGCACTGGCAGATTCTGTTTAGGATCTGAACCCAGGACTTACCTCCCAAGATGGGAAACCTCACATGGCACAACTCTGTAGATCAGTCTGGGTGGTCCGTGTGACAGGTGAGGCCCATAAATCCCACTTGCTTCCCATGGTAATGCGCTGCTTTGAGATGCCACAGCAGCAAAGGACACTGATCTACCTCGGGCCAGGGTCTAGGGATAACTTCTCAGAAGGGGGCATTCCTGACATGGCGATGTGGTGTTCTGGGCAGAGGAAACATCCAGTCACAAGCCACAAAGACATTAGGAACCTGATACAGGTGGGAGCTGAGCTCATTGGGCCTGGAAGTGATGGAAAGATTAGTGACATGTTGCAGGAACCAGGGCACAGCCCAGTCCTCCAGGCAGTGTAAGTGGTACAGAACTATTTTAAGAATGAAGTGACATCATCTGATTTGGAGATGGCTTGGAGGGAGGCCAGATGGGTAGGTGGACTAATTAGGAGACTATTACAATAATTAGGTAATAAATCTCAACTGAGGCACTGGCTGTTGGGCTAGAGAAGAAAATAAATTGCAGCCGAAACACTCATGGATATAGATTTCTGGGTTCATAATTTATTAGCTCAATACAGCCCATCATCTAAAAAGATGAAAGACCTGTGAAACAAGTGCACAGAGCTGTTCCAACTGGACCACGCCCCCTTTCAGCAGGTGCTAACCTTGGGGACTGTGGGCAGGTTCCCTATGCCACCTGTCTGCTACTAGCCATCTTGACTCCTGAAAATGCTGCTTTCTGGCTCTCCATAAAGATGGTTCAACAGCAACCCAAAATAATGTGGTCCAGGGAAGCAGTTTTCTTATTCAAACACTCATTTTCAACCTCCACTTCAATGTCGACTCGTTGACTTAAACATCTGCTGAGGGCTGGGGATGTAGCTCACTTGGTGGAATGTTTGCCTAGGGTGCCCAAAGTCCTGGGTTTGATACCCAGCACCACATAAAATGGGCCTGGTGGTTCACACTTGTAACTCTAACACTTGGGAGCTAGAGGCAGGAGGATCAGAAGCTTAAAGTTATCCTCAGCTGCAGAGGGAGTCTGAGGACAGCTTGGGCTACATGAGACCCTATCTAAAAAAAAACAAAACAAAAATCTACTGACCACCCTTCTAGTTACCATCCCCTAGGTAACTAAAATGCTTCAATGGCACACAACAGCCCAGTCTCCCAATATAGCTACTGGGTGGGTCCCGTCCTTTCTCCTGGGACTGGTTCCATCTCTCATACTCACCTCTCAAACTTTGTCATGCATACAGGCCACCTAGGAATATCGCTAATGACACAGTCCTAACAATGTTATAGGATGGTCACAAGACCATGCACTTCTCAGAAGACCCAGCTGTCTGCAACCAACATTTGAGTAGCAAGATTCCATACATTTCTCCTCAGAATAGTCTGGTGAAGGAAGTTATTTTTTATTTTCTTTGCTGGACTCTTAATGAAGAGAAAGTTACATATAGTGAAATGCACAAAATCTAAATCTACAATTTAATGAGCTTAGGAAATGAGGAAATTGAGGTCACTCCTATGACCTCAATCGAGAATGTTGATATTTCTAGAAAATTCCCGTTTGAGTCTCATTTCTGTCGCTGTGAGACAGAAATTACAAAAAGTAATTTATGGGAGAAAGGGAGTTATTTCGACTTAAAATTCCAGGTTACAATCCATCCTAGCAGAAGCCGTGGTGGCAGGAGCTGGAAGCTGCTAGTTGCATCACATCCACAGTCAAGTGCAGAGGGGAACAAGCGTACACACCCTTGCTTGTTTGTTCTTGGCTAGCTCTTACATCGTTTAAGACCTCTTGCCCAGGGAATGGCACTGCCCACAATGGACTGGGTCTTCCTACCTCAATTAACAATCAAGACAGTCTCCCACAGACATGCCCACAGACCAACCTGATCTAGACATTAAGACTCCCCATTAAGACTCTTCCCAGGTGATTCTAGATTGTGTCAAGGTTAACACTAACCAGCACTGTTTCCTGTTCTCCTTTCCATTCGTCCTCAACATAAAGGTGGTTCAATAGCAACCCAAGAAAGTAGTTTTCTGATTCAAGAGGTTACATCTGAGGATCTAGAGGAATGAGAGACGTTTCACACGTTTCAGGCAATCCTGCATATCACAAATTGGTCCAGCTAGCTAAAACTGGAGCGTCTATCTTATAATGGTTTCCTCATTTATTTTTCTACAAATGATGCCATATGCCAGGTCCTGTGTTTGGCATGGACCAGCAAGGTGCGCATCTTGGCCTTGTACTCAGGAAGTCAATTCTCACTTTAGTCTTTTTTGGCTGTTATAACAAAATACCCTAAACTGGTTAACTTATAAACAACAGGAATTTATTCCTCACAGTCCTATAAGCCAGGAAATCCAACATCAAGATACAGGTATACTTAATGCCAAGTGAGGGCCCATTTCCTGGTTCATAAATGGCAGCTCTGTGCTGTGTCCTTACATGGTGGTAGAACTAACTAGACTCCTCTGGAGTCTCTTTTAATAAATGCACTAATCCCACTCATGGGAGACCCACTGCCATGAGCAAATCACTCTGCAAAGGCCCCACCCTCTTCTCCTATCACTCTGGAGCTTGGGATTTCAGATCTGTTAATTTTTTTATTTTTTATTAATTTTTTGTGTGTATGAATATATTGCCTGCATGTATGTAAGTGCACCCATGTTGTGCAATACCTGTGGAGGTCAGAAAAGGGCGTCAGATCCCCTGGAACTGGAGTTACAGATGGTTGTTAGTCGCCATTTGGGTGCTGGGAATCAAACCCAGGTCCTCTGCAAGAGCAGCCGTGCTCTTAACTGCTGAGCCATCTCTCCAGCCCCATCAGATCTGTTGCTTTTTTCATTGTACCCAAATACCTGACAGACACAACACCTTCAGGAAGAAATTATTTATTTTGGCTCGTGACTTCAGGGGGTTTCAGTCCATGGTCACTAGGCTAATTGTGAGGCAAAACCTCATGGCGGGGAAGCTTCTTCATGGCAAACAGGCAGGAGGCAGAGAACGGGGGTGGGGGGCGTGCAGAGCACGGTGCAGGGACTATGTGACCTATCCTTCTAAGGACGCTCCTCCTCCAATAATCCTACCATATTATGAGTCAGCAAGGGGTTAATGTGTTCATTATGTGAGCACCATCATGATCTGTCTCTGGAGATGCTTCACAGACAAACCCAGAGGTGTACTTTACTAAATATCCTACTTTTTTTTTTTTCGCATCTGTGTGTGTGTGTGGGGGGTGTATCTATGTATCTGTGCATGGTGTGAGCAAGTGTGTGTGAATATATGGGGTACATATGCTGTGGGGGGGGCACTGAGGTTGACTTCAGTGTCTTCCTCAATCACTAAATAGACTCTACACGGAAAGGCAGGTTCTCCCACTTGAACCCAGAGCCCACAGATTCAACTAGTTAGCTAATCACCTTGTTCTGGGGATCCCCTGTCTCCACCACCCCTGCACTGGACGACAGGTGGTTCAACACACCCACTCAGTTTTCACATGCGTTCCAGGGATCCCAACTCCAGTCCTCACAAACAGAAAGCGTTTTTACCCACTAAGCCATACCAGCCCCTCCTACTTGTTTTAAATCCATTCAAGCTGTCTGTCTAGATTGTGGTCATAGACTTTAACATATGAATTTTGTGGCGACACAAACATTCAGACCATAGCAGTAGCTCATATTTGACAGGGGTGACAGACAAGGGACATATGGAAGCTTCCTGGAAGAGAGCATTGAGGCACAGGTGCTCCTGGCCAGGCCAGAAAGGCTTGAGAAGATGAGAGAAACAACTTGTCATTCATAAGCCTCAGGTTTTACTCATCTCTCTCTTTTTTTTTAGACAAGGTCTTACTATGCAGCCCAGGTTGGCCTGGAACTCACTCTCAAATTCACAGAGACTGGCTTGCCTCTGTTTCCAAGTGCTAGGATTAAAGGCATCCATCACCTTACTCTCACGTAGCACTTTGCAAACCCCAGCCCCTAAGGTCTCATTTCAGCCTCATAACAGCCCTGCCATAAGGCACGTGCCACTCTTCCTCAACTGAGGCTCAAAGAGGTTGACTTAAAAGCACACACTGGTGAGCTGGTAAGCAATGCCTCTGGCTGCCAAGAAATCTGTTTCCCTACCACACAGCTGCTCCTGTAATGGCAGAGGCCAGCCAAGTGGCAAGAATCACAGGTGCCCTTCCCAGAATGGAGACTTTGCACAGCCTGTGCATAACAATAATCCTGGCTAGCAGGACCAGGCTTCCTACCCTCCTAACCATCTATGCCTTCCTCGAAGGCGAAGCCAAGACCCCTGGCTCTGTCCTCACTGAGGAGTGACTGTCGCGCCTCCCTGGGTTGGGGAGCCCCAGTCTTGACTAGCCCCTCCCCAGACTGAACTAACTGCCGCGTGTCTCCTATTTTAGCTTCCTGCTTCCACTGCTCCACCATGCGAATCCTGCTCTGTGACCTCCTGCTGCTCAGCCTGCTCTCCAGTGTGTTCAGCAGCTGTCCCAGGGACTGTCTCACTTGTCAGAAGCTCCACCCAGCCCCGGACAGCTTCAACTTGAAGGTATGTCCAGGAGGAGAGAAACTGCCTTCTCCCCTCTCCTGCCTGTCATCTGCTCTCTCTGACTCCAAAGCAGACCCTGAGTGAGACACTCAAGCCTCTCCCAGACATCATGGGACTTGTGCAGTGTTGCATGGCCAGGAGGAAAGGGGTGGAGCTGAGATAGCTGCATCTCCCAATTAGGGCCCCTATGGTCCTCCTGCTTTACCATCAGATCCCTCTGATCCTTCCTCTTTACCACTAGATCCCGGTTGTTCTCCCACTTCACCACCAGATTCCTGTGGTCCTCCCACTTTACTAACCGATCCCTGAGGTCCTCTCACTTTACTACCAGATCCCTGTCCCTGTGGTCCTCCCACTTTACCACCAGATCCCTATGATCCTCCCACTTTACCACCAGATCCCTGTCCCTGTGATCCTCCCACTTTACTATCAGATCCCAGTGGTCCTCCTACTTTACCACCAGATCCTGTGATCCTCCCACTTTACCACCAGATCCCTATGATCCTCCTGCTTTACCACCAGATCCTGTGGTCCTCCCACTTTACCACCAGATCCCTGTGATCCTCCTACTTTACCACCAGATCCCTATGATCCTCCTGCTTTACCACCAGATCCCTGTGGTCCTCCCACTTTACCCCCAGATCCCTGTCCCTGTGGTCCTCCCACTTTACTATCAGATCCCTGAGGTCCTCTCACTTTACTACCAGATCCCTGTCCCTGTGGTCCTCCCACTTTACTATCAGATCCCAGTGGTCCTCCCACTTTACCATCAGATCCCTGTGATCCTCCTACTTTACCACCAGATCCCTATGATCCTCCTGCTTTACCACCAGATCCCTGTGGTCCTCCCACCTTATCAGATCTCTGTGATCTTCACACTTCAGCACCTTCCAATAAAGATCTGTTCATGATGTCCCTGTTCTCAGTGTTAATGCGTTCTTATGCAATACATGTATTGTATATAAAGAAAAGTAAAATCTCCTTTACTCCCATGTATTAGTTGCTTTTCTCTTTGCTGTGACAAAATCCCTGACAATAGTCACTTACTAAAGGGCTTTATTGTGACTCACAGTTTGAGAGTACAGTATATCATGGGGGAGGCATGGGCAGGAGCTTGAGGCAGAGTCACATTGTCTCCACAGTCGGGAAGCAGAGAGTGATGAACGCTGCTGCTCAGTTCACGTTCTCCGTTTGATTCCGTCTGGGACTCCAGCTCACCAGACAGGGCTGCCCACAGGCGGATTTTTCCTCCTCCATTAACCCTCTCTTGAAATACCCTCATCTCTGTGTCACCTAAAAGATTCCAAACTCCACCAAGCTGACAGTGAGAAATCAACCATCACACTCCAGCAGTCAGAGACAGACTCCTCCTTTTTAAACTTTTGGAGCATGCCAGGGTAATGTTTTCATGTTGCCGCACTGCGCTGGTTAGCTTTTGTCAGTTCGCCACAAACCAGAGACACCTGGGAAGAAAGACTCTGGGCTGAGGAATATCCCCCGTCAGATCGGCCTATGGACCTGTGGGGGGGGCGTTTTCTTGATAGCTGGTTGATGTGAGAGGGCCCACCCTACTGTGGGAGGTGCCGTCCCCGGGCAGGTGGGCCTGTGCTGTATAAGAAAGTACCTGAGTAAGCCAGGGAAGCAAGCCAGTAAACAGCGTTCCTCCATGGTCTCCGCTTCAGTTCCTGCCTTGGGCTCTTGCCCTGAGTTTCCTGGTTGAAGGACTCTAACACCAAGCTGAAATAAACCCTTTCCTCCCCCAAATTGTTTTTGGTCAGCGCTTTATCACAGCAACAAACAAAACCAGGACACAGTGCACTCACACATTATTTGAAGTGATTTCTTTCTATGTATATATAGAGATAGATGGAGACAGACAGACAGAGGTACATAGAGTCACTACTCATCGCCTGTTGAGCATGTATATTGCTATTCATTTTTGATATTTCAGACGATTTTACAATGAACATCCAAAATGCTCTCTTCTATTTAAAATTTCCAATGTATGGTACAAGTTCAACCTTAAATTATTATTCACTGAATGAATTGCTTTCTTATCTCTTTTAATTTCAGTCTAGTTAACTATTCTTCTCCTATGAAATTCTGTATAATTCAATTATTTTTTTTCCTTTGAAGTCAATAAAGCAGCTTTAAAGATGCAGTGTTTCAAAGTCCACAGCCTTTCAAAACCAGCAAAGTAACTGCTATTCCTTAAGGCGAATACGCAAGTATAAAAACCCAGTATAGTTGGTGCCTGATACACCTGCCTGTCTCCCAGCTCTGAGTTGAAAAGTGGCCTCAGCCCCAGCAGACACTCATCAAGCTCTTCTAACCCCAGCCACACCTATGTTCTGACCAGAAAGGAACAGTCAGTCATGCCATCAGGAAAGACAGCCCAGATGACCCACATCCCTTGAAGAGATGTGCCCTTTCTTATCTTTTATGTTCTCCTCTAGGCATCTACCTACCCACTATCCTGTCCTTCAAGAAACATCTTTTGGTTATCCTGCCTGGTTTGTGGGTCTCTTCCCCCCCTGACTCCGCTTCCCCAACCTTTTACATTGGCCTCTGTTCCTCCACCCACTCCCTAAACATAAGGATATCAGGATGCCCTTCTTGCTGTCCCACTGTCCCTGTCCCTCTGAGATGTCTCTAGGCATCCTGGCCTTTGCTTTCCCAGGCTGCAGGTAACTCTCAAAGCTATACCCCCAGACATCCCCTTTCCTGGGCTCAGGCCCAGATACCCAGGTCACTCTTTACAGCTCCCAAGAGGACCTGCTTTCCTTTCCTGTCCTGCCACCGTGCACCTGCCTCTCCCTTTCCCCAACCAATAAATCCCACTTGTGCTTCAAAGTGAAGATCAAACCTCACTTCATAACAGCACACTTTGCTGACTCACAAAGCCAAGGTCAGGTTCAAGTAGCATTTTTATTTGGAAAAACAATAGAGAATCAGGGATGACACTAAAGCAGCACATAGACAGAAGAGGTAAACCTAGAGACTTCCAGGAGACCCAGAGATACCAAGGACAGGAGGGTGAAGCCAACGTCAAGGCCAGCCAGAAAGGGCTGGAGAGCTGGTGCAGTCGGGCTGCTGGTCTCCAGTAGATGTTGTGATGCTGGGGAAGGCAAAGCAGCCACAGAGGATTCCTGGGGCTCTGCCTGGCTTGGATCTGAGCATGAGCCCCACCCTCCCATGGAGTGGATAACTAGTTTAACCCCACAAGCCCAAACTGCCTGCGTCCCAGGCATTGTTATAAATGACATGTAGATAAAAATATAGGATGAAAACACCACCAGGGTTGGTCTTTCCTCAGTGATCTTTATTTTCAATGTACATGCAGGTTTAACCACCCACTTTCACAACTCCAACTTCTTTAATCAGTCTGACCTTGAGCTTAATAAGAAAATGAAATACAGTGAGGTGTACTTATTGTAGCCATTGTTGGTATCTTCAGGTCCAGCTCCCACCCTAAGGAATGAGCTCCTCTGCTGGCTCATTTGGGTACTCCAGCATGTGGCACAGCATGTGGTCCAGAACAGGGCTCAATCAGCCAGTCCAGAACTTTAGGCGCCTGCTGGGCGCATCCTGGACAGTCACGGTAGAGTTCCTATATTTGAGCCTTTCAGAGTTGGCAACAAATTCGAAGCAAGCGTCTATCTCTTCATTAAGATCTCAAATCTTTGGGGTCCAGACAACACTCACTTTGCTTCTTAGAAACAAGTCAGAAAATGGATTGGTAAAAGCCTCACAGTTGAAGATAAATGCTTCCTAGTGCCTGCCGGCCCCCTGAGGACCTGGCTGGCTGCTGGTTTTTTTGTTTCTAGTTTGTATTCACTTTTAACCTATTTTTAAATAGAATGAAATGCCAAGAATATAGGCAATCGTTTGTCATTTTCTTCAGGTCTGTCCAATCTTGCCTATATCTGCTTGATGTGGGGAATTATGGGGAGTGCTCATATTGCAGACAGGGTCACCTCCCCAGTCTTCCCACCAGATTATGTAATCCTGACCCAGGATCCTCAGAACACTTAGCTCCATCAAGAATTTTTCTGTCTCTACTGATAGATGGTCCAAGTGTGGCTGGCTTTTTCTTAGACTATAATTTTGGTCCATAAATGACTCATACAGTCTTATCCTCTGACTTCCTACCTATTGTGAGTGGTACTTACCCCATCAGTTCAACTAGAAGAAACTGAATTCACTGAGTTGTTTTAGAGATGGAGAGTAAGACAACACACCCTCAAGAAAGTCTGGGAAAATGCATCTAAAACGCCTTAAACTCTTTTGCAATAGAAACTGCTTCCTGGCATCTCTACTTTTCCTGCGTGAAAATTCTTAGCAGGTGATTGACAGCACAAGTTCTTTTGTCTTATTCTCTTTAGATAGAGACTGCGTTCTCTCCTCTCTTTTTTTCGTGTGAGAAATTTTTTAGTGAGTGACAGAGAACGCAAGTTGTTTGGGGTGTGTGTGTGTGTGTGTGTGTGTGTGTGTGTGTGTGTGTGTGTGTGTGCTATTCGTTTGCTGTCCTTGTTAGTGTCAGCCTTTGAATGTTTTTCTAATTGTGTGTGTGTGTGTGTGTGTGTGTGTGTGTGTGTATCTGTGTGGAGGTGCGTGTGTATGGTGTAGGTGCCCTTCAAGATCAGAAGAGAGTGCTAGATTCCCTGAAGCTGTAGTCACAGGCAGTTTTGAGCTGGCAGACATGGATGCTGGAACATAACTTGAGTCCTCTGCAAGAGCAGTATGTGCTCTTAACCACTGAAACATCTTTCCAGTCCCTGAATACATTTTTACTTTATTTCTCTTTGCAGTACTTGAGATTGAACCTAGGGCCTTGTGAATAACTAGGCAAGTGTCCTACTACTGAATTATATGCCTAGCCATGACTTTGACTATTTTGGCAGGACTTCCTGCAGAAAATAGCTCCTAAATATCACCCAATTGGAAATAGTAAAAACAACAACAACAACAACAACAACAACAACAACAACAACCTCAGTGACTTTCTTAATTTCACTCCAAAGGGCCCATGTGTCTGATTTGCAGTGTTGGGCTAGAACCCGGGGAATCACACACTCTAGGCACATGGTCTACCACTGTGTTACACTCCTAGACTGTACCCTAATTTTTTATCCCAACATCCAAATGGCCCTTTGCTCAATCTCCTCACAAGCCCAGCTTTACAGATCAATTTGGCACCAGTCTTGGGAGTCCAGATACTCATGAAAATTCTGGCTTAATATAGCCATGTCATCATTGTGGGCTTAGGAAATGTGTCCAGCTCACTTAATAAGCCATTAGCCCATCTCTGGGAAGCAGATGATGAGGCCCCCAGACCAGAAGGTTAAACATTAAGTTTATATGCCCATCTGGCATTACAAATGCTGTTGTAGATTTTGATACCCCATGTTTGCCTCAAACCTTCTCCTAAACCAACAGTCACAATGATTTGGTCAGTAGCTAATTTATCTAATGGTGTGTTGACTCTCAGTAAAGACTGTAGCATCTGGTTTGATCACAAAATTTCATTTTTTCTGATTGACATAAAAATCTATTTACCATCTGGAATTAGAAGCCCAAGAGTTCTCAGGCTGTCAAGAGGCCTCTAGACTTAACTCCTCTACCTGTAAACCAAAGTAGCTGAACAGCTCTATAAGCATCTTCCTCTGTGAGATTGAACCAACTGTGACCAAAGGTGGAGCTTGCTACTAATCCTGCACCCTATAGACTTTCTCAGTGCTGTCCACACCTCCCTGCATTCCCATTGACCATGGAGAACAGAATTTCACCTTATCTTCCACCATGGACATCAAGGGCTAGACAACCGTTTGTTTGGGGAACCTGTTCAGTCAAAAGATTTTTGCTAATATCCTTGCCCTCTACATAACATTAGAAGACATACATGTCAGTTGGGGGATGGCCCAGTCAGTAAAGAGCTTGCCTTGCAATCATGAGGACCTGAATTCAATCCCCAGAGCCCATGTTAAAATGTTGGCCCACATTAACAATGCTGCCACACATATGTATTATAAAAATTATTTTCATACTCAATTCTCAGAAAGTAAAATTGTACTTAGTATTTTATTTAGTATTCATTAAACAATTTTGATATAATAGTTGATATATACATATTCATACAAATGTATATAGGTTTTCTTGAGACAAGGTCTCCCTGTAGCCCCAGTTGACTTGGAACTCACCATGTAGACCAGGCTGGCCTTGATCTCACAGAAACTTGCCTGACTCTGCCTCCCGAGTGCTGGGACTAAAGGCATGCATCTCCATGCCTGGCGCAATGTTTTTGTAATTAAATTTACGTTGAGATGCTAGAACAGATGTGGGGCGTGATGCAAAGTTTGATGGGAACAGAGAGGCAGGAGAGAGCAATTCTTGCCAAGGAACCAAAAGAAGAAGACATGAAGATGAAGGAGCAGCATTAGGATGTGACTGGGCCAGAAAGGAAATGTGTGAAAGTGCCATTCCATCAGAGAGGACACGGCAACAGTCATGGAACTTCTTAAGTGCTAGGAGAAGCCCTGTGTTCTGGGAGGGGTGGGACTTAAAATAAGACATAAAAATAGGCTGGTTCCAGGGACTTGCATGCCCTGTTCAGGCATCTAGAGATATTCCATAGACAGGACAAGATGTCAAGCAGCTGTGGGCAAGGTTAACGATGTTATTAAAGTTATTCTCCAGGGAGATAGTCTGCCAGGGGCCTCACATGGATTTGAGTGGTTTTCAAAAAGAGAGATGGAAAGATCAATGGGGCAGCTGCTGCCTTCTAAGAAGTACTCAGGCAGGTACAGAGGGAAAGGAGAGGCAGACCTATGTACTGAGTAGAGAGAAGAATGGTGGTGAGAAGGGAGGGAAAGATGTGCCCAGAGTTTAAAACCTGCCTTGATTGGGGAATAAAGTACTAGCCAGAGAGAGCCAGAGAGGCAAGCAAAGGGCAGACTTAGATGGTATAATGGTTACCTGTCAACTTGACACAGCCTAGAATCACTTGGGAAGAAAACCTCAATGAAGGACTGTCTACATCTGGGTTGGCCTATGAGCATGTCTGTAGGGGATTGTCTTAACTAACTGACGGTCTAGTCCACTATGGGTGATAACCATGCCCCAGGCAGGGAGTCCTGGCCTCTGTAAGAACTGAGTACACACGAGCCTGCCTGCATGCATGCATGCATTTTCTCTCTGCTCTTGGCAGAGCAGCAGCAGAAAGTTCCTGGGTCCCTGCCTGGCCTGTATCTGAGAATGGAGCCCCTCCCTGCAAGAATAGATTACAGGTTTAGCTCCACATGCCCAACCCACCTGCAGCCAGGGTCCCTGGGCCATCATTTGCTACAAAGGATGTACTGATAGGATAGCCAGTATATGTACAATAAAATTAAGAATACCAGGGCTGCTCGTTATGCAGTGACTTTATTTTTTATTTGTGTGTATGTGTGCTTGTGTGTAGTGTATATACGTGGTTGTGTACGTGTGTGTGTGTGTGTGTGTGTGTGTCTTCCATAGATCTACCACATCCTTATTTTTTGAGACAGGCAGTTGGTCAGACTGGCTGCTCATGAGGCTCCAGAAATGTGCCTGTCCCTGTCCCCTGCCTACCCCCAACACTAGGATTATACAGATAATCACCACAATCAGCTTTCACATGGATGCTTGGGATCTGAATGAACTCAGATCCTCATGCTTACACAGTAAGCACTTTACAGACTGATCATCTCCCCAGCCACATGGTGACTTCACGCTCTCCCCATTTCTTTTTTTTTAATACTTTATTTATTATTTTTATGTGTATGTGTGTATTGCCTGCATCTAGGTAAGTGCACCCATGTCGTGCAATGCCCTCGGAGGACAGAAGAGGCTGTCGGATCCCCTGGAACTGGAGTTACAGACAGTTGTTAGCTGCCCTGTGGGTGCTGGGATTCGAACCCAAGTCTTCTGCAAGAACAGCCAGTGCTCTTAACTGCTGAGCCATCTCTCCAGCTCCATTTCCCCAGTTTCTTTAACCAGTCTATACTTCCCTGGGCCTAATGAGAGAAAGAAATAAGATTCTTCTACCTGGGTGACACTCATGAGCTGTGCTCAGCTCCTGAGCCCTAAGGACATGGCAGGGTATAGTTTGGAGTGCCTCCACTCTGTGTTAACTTGCTGGGTCACTTGAAGATAAGTTAACCACATCTCTGACCCTAGTTTCTTTGTTGGCAAAATAATAGAGCAGTGCCAGATGGTTCTGTTTCCAACTCCGAAACGCTACAAATCTGAGAGGGGAAAAAAAACTCTGTAAAACTGCTACACAGGGGCTGGGGAGATTTAAGTTAAGTATGAAGACCTGAGTTCAACTCCAGCACCAGGGGAAAGCCAGGCACAGCGGCACACACCTGTAATCCCAGCACTGGGGAGGCAGAGACAGGAGGATCCCTGGGACTTGCTGGCCAGTCCGTCTAGCAAATTGAATCAGGGAGTTCCAGGTCAATGAGAGACTCTGTCCCCCAAAATAAGACAGAAGAGGGGCTGGAGAGATGGCTCAGCCATTAAGAGCACCCGCTGCTCTTGCAGCAGACCCAGGTTTGAGTCCCAGCACTGACATGGTGGCTAACAGCTGTCCATAACTACAGTTCCAGAGAATCCGATGTCCTCCTCTGGCCTCCACAGGCATCGCATGACCCGAGTGCACTTACATACATACAGGCAATACACTCATACACATAAAATAAAAATAATAATAATAAAATATTTTTTGAAAAATGAGAGAAGGGCTAATGGGATGGCCTAGGGGTAAAGGTGCTTACTATATAAGCTTAGTGACCTGAGTTCAGTCCCTGGAACCCTGGTAAGCTGTAGGGAGAGAACTGTGTCCACAATTGTCCTCTGACCACACACTCACACACAATGATGATGATGATAATAATAATAATTTTAAAAGAATTTTTTTAAAGGTGGAGATTTATAGAGGAAGACTCCCCATGTCAACCTCTGGCCTCCATACACATATATACACACATGCACGTGCAGCCACCCACCCAGGTGTATATACACACACACAACACAAACTGCCACTCAGTGCTTGATTAAATGACACTTTGGAAGCATGTGACCTGGTACAGATACGGATAATTCAATGACTTGGCTCACCCCTCACCTTTGACTAATAGAAATAAATCCCTGTCCCTTCCCCCGTCTGCGTTCTTGCAGGCATGCATCCTCGAGTGTGAAGAGAAGATCTTCCCTCGACCCCTCTGGACTTCATGCACCAAGGTCGTGGCCAGCGGTTCCTCAAAGTTCAGCCCTGCTGACCCAGAGCATGTATCAGCTGCTCGTCATCAGCCACAAGCCTCTGAGCTGCAGCATCTGAAGCGCATGCCCCGTGTCAGGAGCTTGGTCGAAGCACTGGAAGATACAGAGCCTGGCGTGTTTGATGCTGGCAAGGTGGAACAGAAGCAGCTGCAGAAGAGGTTTGGGGGCTTCACTGGGGCCCGGAAGTCAGCCCGGAAGTTGGCCAACCAGAAGCGGTTCAGTGAGTTTATGAGGCAATACCTGGTCCTGAGCATGCAGTCAAGCCAGCGCCGGCGCACTCTGCACCAGAATGGTAATGTGTAGCCAGAAGGAACCCCTCCCAGCAGCACCGGCCACTGCAACCCATGAGTGAGTTGGGCACCAATGAGAGGGGGCAAGACATGACCTCATACACCCCATTTTCTCAAGCTGCTCCCCAGACCTGGAAGCACATTAGTCCCCAAAACACACAGACACAGGCACATGCACACGGACACGCACACGCTCATACAGACACACGCACCATCTCAAGGACTCCATCTTTTGGGAGGCTTGGGAGGGAGATTTCACTTCTCTGCCTCCTACCCACCGTTTCTCTAGGGAGCAAAGAGTTTTTTTCCCACCATTCCTCCTTGAGGCTGACCACTCCCATTCAGAGACTGGTTACCATGGGGATAATAGTAGTATGTTAAGATAACTAATTCTTCCATAGCTCTCCAGGAGCTTAGTTACTATGGGGACAGGTAAGTGGACCAATTCCCCAACTAGTTACCATAGCAACCATTCAGCTCACCTTTCCCGAGAGACTTTATCTGCAACACCCAATAGCTGGCCCTCCTCTCAGCCATTTGCAAAGAGACTGATTACTATTCTGCCTTCAAAGACGCTTATCTACTTCATCCTACATCTCAAGGTGGCTGGACTCCATGGAAACGGTTAATATTTTCCATTTCCAAAGGAACAGTTATTCCTTTTCCATCCAAGGACTTCTTGTTAGGACCAGGAGTTACGCTTTTTGTTTTTCTTTCTCCTACAAGCCATTTGGTCACCCTCCCACCTAGCCACGGAGACTCATTCTTTGTAGAAAATGGGATTCTTTGTAGAAAATGGGATCCTCAATTAGCCAGGACTCCAGAATTTGGCCCAACTGACCCAGTAGATTTTTTTCTCTTCTTCGCAGAGTTCCATGTCTGTTGTATTTGGTTTTGTTCATCTTCGCTTACTCTGTTCCTACCCTCAGATGTACCCTCCCTCAAGTCATGTGAAAGGCACAGATAACATCCAGGAAAGACCCAACTGATTGTCAGCTAATGCCAAACTCAACTCTCCCTAACCCAGCACCAGTACATAATTGTGAATGGCAGTGGGAATTAGCACAGTGGATTTAAGAAAAATCCCAACCATCAAGTCTATGTTTCTTACTCCAAATATTGTGATATGAACGTGTGCAGAGTCCCACAACATCTCCCAAAACAACTTAGAAACATGGCCTCGTATAAAGAGCAAATTAATTTGACAATATCATCCAAAAGCTTCACCCAACGGAGGCTATTCCCTGACTCTGAGGCCGAAAAGAAGAATGCATGCACTCTTTCATTTCACTTCCCACACGTTCAAGGTAGCCATGACCTTTATATAAGTTTTTGGAGGTAGACTAATCTGTATGCTAATCTTTGGTGCTCACACTCTGGCATGGACCAGCCCACATGGGCCAAGCTGGTAGGCTTGCAAATATGGACACGTATTAATTAAGTTGTAGGGAGAAAGGCATTGGTTTAACAGAAAGACTAATCTGCAAATATCCTGGATGAACCTGCACTGTCTCTGAAGTCACATCTCGGAATTGTGAATGGCAGTGGGAATTAGCACAGACCCTTTTCAAGCATTTTATTTCTCTCTAAGCCCTATCTGGCTGGTACCTAGTGGTAAATTTTTCAGAAGCATCATGAATTCTTTAAAATCTTAAAGACATTTAAAGTGGCTCTTATGGGACACCAAAGCCCCTATCTAATTCCAAACCACAACTATTCTTTACCTACAGAGCATTTAAAATCAGTCCCATTAGCAGGAATCAATTTATTTGGAAAAAAAAAACTTTTTGAGCCAATTTGTTTTTCTGATTTTCTATTATACATCCAACTGAGAGGTACTGTAATGGGGCTAATGACTGACTTCTGTTTGCTGCTTTGCTCAACATGCAAAGTTCTTGAGGGAAACACTAGCCAGCTCGTTTGGGTATTATTGATGGCTTTTCTGTCTCCTTGTGCAACCAGCTCTCTTTTCTGCACAGGCATGATTGCTGAGCTCCAAAGTAGATACATGTTAATGAGCGTGTAACCACCAGCTGAAACCTTGTGTTTATTCACACACAAACACACACACACACACACACACACACACAGCCCTACTGCTGTGTATGTGGAATCCCTCCCTTTGACCAACTCCCATTGTCAAAGACATTTAATACCAATCTATACTTAGGAGACTGGAGGGAGAAGGGAATGGGGCCACCCAACACTGAAGGAGGATAAAGAGCCTGTTTAAAGAGTAGTGGTGCCCTAAGAAGGAGGACACTGGGGTGCAGACCCACCCTAGACAGAACTGTGAGATCACAGCTGGTCTTGGGGGCAGCTTTCACTCCCCTGGCCCTTATTGGCAATGCTTTCTGCTGCCCCAGGCCTTGACATTCTAGACTCAGCAGCATACTCGTGATCCAGTGTTCATGACATCAAGCCCAGACAGCCTGTGCAGTGTAAGAGAACGTCAAGCGAGAACACAATTTTGGATGGACTTGAGTACTGGGAAAGAGAGAAGTGTTACCAGGGAGGGGTCTTGATGCTGTGCCTTTTAAGTCATAGCCCACCAACTTCCTCTTTATCCAGTAGACTCGGGTGAGGGCAGCAGGTAAGTAGAGGTCATTAAGTAAGGAACCCTTCTTTCTGGCCACCTAGGAAGGGAAGCCATCATCACTTAGCTTGTCTTTGCCTCCTCTAGACTGCTTCTGTCTCTTGGGCAAATAGGATGGAAGGGTCAGCAAACCCATTGAATTTGCCATTTTAATCTTTTCTGTCTCCCCAGGCATTCAGGTGATCCCCCGAACAGCATGTATCCACACCCAGACCTGCCGGCTGGGAGTCAGGATTCCTCCTTCCCCAAGGCACTGAGTGCCCGAAGCACATCCCAGTCCAGTTGTCACCCCTCCCCATGGCATGTTTCAACACAACCCTGTTGCTACATCAGAGTGTATTTTTGTAATTCCTGCAGCTGACATTTTAATGGCCCCATCTTTCCCTCTCACCCACTTTCTTCCCTCTAGGGGGTCAGGTGAGAGGATCTGAAATCAAACCTGGGGTTTTGACACATCACTGCCATAACCTGTTTGTAAAAGAGCTGTTCTTTTTGACTGATTGTTTGAAACAACTATTTCTCCATTAAACTTCTACTGAGCAAATGGTTAATAAACTTGTTGGCTGCTTTTAAGTGATACAGTGGAAAAGCACAGACTTCTGCAAACACACTAAGAGCCACCTCTTGGCTTGGGTGGGGGGCACAGGCCTAAAACTCAAGGCTATGCATCCTATAAAACTGATGCAACAAGATGCTGGGGCATAAACACCCAAGGCCCCTATGAAGTCAGATGCAAATGAAGCCCACAGTGGGAAATCGATTCACAAGGCTGTGTGAAGGCATGGGGAGAGGGGAGGTTGGGATGCAGTGGTTCTCGACCTGTGTGTACCAGCACCAAGCAGAGGCAGCCTGCTGCTGGGTCCCACTGCCAGTTCCCGATTTGTCAGGAACTTCCATTTTTAGCAATTTCCAGGTGATGCAAAGCCTGCCGGTGTAGGGCCGGGGGACTGGGACAGAAGGAAAGGCCTGGATCTAAGATAAACCCACCCAGCTACTTTTATTGCAACTTAACACTAAATATGATAAGGTATGTAATTGTCAAAGTCCAGTCAGGAAACATGGTAAGCCCAACCTGTGTAATTGTTCAATATCAACCATAATAGATACTATAACAGCAGTATGCAATTGTTTTCCACATCTGGGAGAAATTGGTTACAAGACTCCCCATAGGTATCAAAACTGTCCATCACACAAATTGGCACATTTGTATATAACCTACATACAGCCTTCATTTCTATTTATAATGCATAATACAATGTGAATACCGTGTAAACAGTTGTATATTGTATTGCTTAGGGAATAATGAGAAGTCTGTGTTCAGTACAGATGCAATTCATTTACTAAGATTTTTCAGTCTCCATCTGGTAGAGTCTGAAGATGTAGAACTCAGATACAAAGGGGCAACTGTACCACAAGATGAGTAAACGATGAGCAACACTAAATTTACTCTGTTCACAGTTCTAGAGACCAAGCAGTTCAATAACAAGGGCCCCCACTGTCCAGCAATGTCAGGGAGCCTTAGAACCCCACCCGCAGAGATGGGTCCTAGCTCCCAAAGCAATTCACCCACACACACTTGACACAACTCCAGGGGTTCCTTTCCTCTCAGCAGCCACTCACTCTAGCACCTGCCTCTCCTGGACAAGATGCCAACTTAACGCTAAAAGGATCCCAGGTGTCCTACCTGCACTCCAACTACCCCTTATATCATTCTAAGGACTTAGCATGGTGGCACAGGCCCGTAATGACAGCACTTGGGAAACAGAAGCAGGATAGAAAGTTTAAGGCCATTCTGGGCTACACAGAAAGAGAACTTGTCAAAAGAGGAGGGGGGGGAAGGGAGAAGGAAAAATTCTTATACACCCCTATTTCAAATTTACTTTGAACATTTAAACATATTTCCCCAATTTCCTCCAGCCTGCTTATTTGATGGACTCTACTTGGGATGATTTAACATAGAGCCAGTGTGTGGTCAAAAGTATACTTCTACGACCCTGCCCATAGAGGCCCGCTCAGCTAGCATCTGGCCATAATCAGTGTAATCAATGCCTCAGGAGCAAACCATTCTCAGAACTCATTCTGTAGATACAGTGCTATGGTTTGGAGATGCTTGAAGGGTTTCTCCCAACCTTTGTGTGTTAAAGACATGGTCCTCGGGGTGGCAGTGGGAGGTGGTGCCTACTAAGAGGTTCTTGGTCATTGGTGGGAAGGATGCCTAAGGAAAGGACCCAGAGATCCCAGTCTCTGGCTTCCTGTTTTTACAATGTGTGCTCCCAACATATCTGCTGTGAGGTGACATAAACGAGATGGTCCCTTGCAAAGCCTGCACCATGTATTTGGCCCTTCAGCCTCCAAAGCTGTTTCTTTCAAAGTTAGTATATCTTGGGGCTGGAGAGATGGCTCAGCATTGGCTGCTCTTGCAGAGGACATGGATTCAGTTCCCAGCACCCAGATGGCAGCTTTCAACCATCCATAACTCCAGTTCCAGGGAATCCGACGCCCTCTTCTGGCCTCCCCAGGCATTGCATGACTTGGTGCCCTTAACATAAATGTAGGCAAAACACTTGTTTGCCTCAAGTATTTTCTTATGGTAATGAAAAGACTGCTGAGCATATTGAATGTGACTTATTTTCCAAGTTCCCAGCCCACTCCCTACTGGACACAAGAATATTTCCAAAATATGCTCTTTTTCAAGGGATATAAGCCATTAAAAATAGTTACTGTACAGACTATAGTCCCAATGCCATCACCTCTCAGTTTATGGCTGTAGCAAGCTATTTAACCTTTGTGCCTCCCTCTCCTCATCTGTTAAATGGAACAACTTCCTCAATTATGTCACTACAGGCACTTGGCCTGCTCTGGTGTTCTAGTTTCTTTTCAATTACTGTGACAAAACACTCTGACCAATACCAACTTGGGGCCAGGGTTTATTTGGCTTACATCTCCTGGGTCACAGTTCATCAGGGAGCCCAAGGCAGGAACTCAGGGCAGGACCCTGGAGGCAGGAGCTGAAGTACAGGCCACGGAGGAACACCGCTTACTGGCTTGCTCCCCTGGCCCCTGCTCAGCTTGCTTTCTTATACAATACAGGACCACCTGCCCAGGGGTGGCACCACCCACAGTAGACTGGGCCCTCTCACATCACTCAACAATCAAGAAAATGCCCCACAGACATGGCCACAGGCCAGCCCAATGGAGGCAATTCCCCAGTCAAGGCTCCCTCAGCCCAGGTGTGTCAAGTTGACAACTAAATCTTTCAAGCACATCTGGTAAATGTTATCAACCTGAGTTTGTTTTGGGACATTAAACCCAGATCCAGACATGTGCTCCACCACTGAGATACATCCCGACCCACCTGATACTAAACACGAGTCATTTGCCTACAGCAATGACAATGTACCAACTGCAGGAAGGAGAGACACGGGCACACACTGTCAATGTACCATTTTATTCCTTATAAAATATATTTCATATCATTGCTGTAAAAACATTACATTTCACATTTTTTTAAAAAAAATCTTAACAGTAAAAATAATACTTGGAAGACAGCAGGGGAGAAGGGGCAGTAAGACAAATTCACAGATGGGATTTTTCTCCCTTTTTATTTTGTTTTTATTTTTATTTATTTACTTTTTTGCCCCTGATAAAGTCAGAACCTGGGATGACCAGAAAGCAACAGAACAAATGTCTTTCACCAAGTCCGTCAACACGTCCAATTTTAGATTGTCCTCTGAAGTCCAGCTCCGGACTTGCTGTGACAAAGCAGCCACTCACTACTCCTACAACTGTCTTAAGGGCCATGTTGCTTTCAGGACCGGGTTAAAAGCCACATCTAAGCTATGTTAAGAGTGTCCTTTGGCCTTGCACCTGAGACTTTGGCCAGCCACGGACAGTATTCCCTGAACCCTCAGCTCTGAGTGAGCATGGTGCGGATTATCACTGAGGCCGTTCCCAACACGGCACCAATTCTAAGGGAACCCCAAGAAGTTCTCTGAGTAAGAGGAACATGGATGGACAGTTTCCCAAGATAACTGTTGCAAACTGGGTCCTGTTGGGTTTCAAAAGCATGCCTGTGGCACTTTTACCCAGTCAGATTGTACCCATGGGGCTGGGAGGCAGGGAAGCAGAGACGAAGGAAGTGGGCCTGACGGCTGGGTGTACTCACAAGTACCCTGGCCCTCCAAGCCCAAGGCCAGGTCACAAGTCAAGAACTAACACTAAAGTATCAAGATGAAGGACCAGAGACAGAGGCCAGAAGGGAGAGGGGACAGATGCAGATGGGGAAGGAAGGCTGCACGGAAACAACCAAACAGAAGTAAAACTCCCTCGGTTTTTAAAGTGTCCCACCTATTCCTGTTTCCTCTGTTCCTTTTCTCCCCGGCACATCAATGGCAGAGGAAATCTGCCTCACATGGAGAAAATCATTATAGTCAGTTATGTCTGCAGGCTGCAAACCAAGACCCAGATTAAAACACCCTGTGCTGAAGTGGAGGCTCAGCCCAAACTGGGATCAAGACATGGAGTGAAGAGCCTCCTGACAGGGGCCCTACAAGTTCAGAAACTCCCTCTCTACACCTCTCCCTCTCTAATAAGATCTGAAGCTGAGCATCATGGGAAGTAAGCAGAGAAAAGAGTAAGAGCCGCTGCCATCTCTTAATTCTCCATGAGGACGAAGAGACGGAAGAGCCCAGGGCCACCTCTGGCTGCCCTCATTTTCTTATAAAAACATACCCTTATCAAAGACACCTAGGCCTGCATGTCTGTCCTTTCACTCTGCAGCCTGGGCCACCACACCCTTCCCATCACATCTCTCCTCTACTCCTGGGTTTTCCAACACTCAATACTCAGTGTGTCTCAGACTGAAAATGGGTACTTCCCATATGATGCCACTAATGGCACACCAATGGCCAAGAGCTTTTACTTGAAACCAAGAGGATGGTCTCCATGGCAATCAGAGTTAGACACTGCTGTTCAGTCCCAGGAGACGTGGTCTGGTGGCGCTCCCTGACATCTGGGACATCAGTCCAAGATGGCTGGGACTTAGAGGACATGTTCAGCAGGCCCAGAGGCAACACTAGCAGAGTTGTGCTTAGAAAGCCGAGGTTCTAAGAAACCGGGCCCTGCCTTCAGAGAGCACATTACCCAGCCCTCACTCACCCCCTCTTGGCATTGGCAGTAAGCGCCCTAAACCTCCCTTCACAGCAAGACCAGCTTTGCTTGTGGAGCTCAACATAGCCCCATCTCCCTTCAATCCCTGGTCTCTAGAAACAAGGGCTGAAATGCCAGGGGCCACTAACCTACCTCATGCCTTCCACCTGGATTCTCTCAGCTGACTCACTCCACCAAGGATTCTCCTTAACCCTCCTCTTCCTGCCTCCTGCAGAAAGTGAAAACTGGGAAGTCCCCAGGGAAGCCAGGAGAACCCAGGAGCCTGCGAGGATCTCCCAGGACCACCCTAGAGAGGGCTGGCTTCATCAGCAAAGTGTCCAGCGCAGACAAGAGGATCAGGATCCCTAGCATCTCCATGACACTTCAGTGGGGAGAACCCTCAGGAGGAGCTTACTCAGTTAAGACTGGAGTTTCCAGAGATCCTCCACATTTCCTCCCAGAGCCAGAAGGATGCTCAAGGTAGTGTTTCAAGGCCATATTTCTCAAAGTGAATTCATATTAGCCTTTCGGTTCAGCTATTTAGGGACATTCTTTAAAACCCTATGAGTCTGGGCTTTGAGAAGAAGCCATGTCATACTGATTGGCATGCAACCGAACACCTTAGGGAACCCAGATTCTAAAGTTGTCACCGTGAAGGGGTGTTCCTCTTCAATCCCCAGAAGTTGCTCAAACAGAAGAAAAATCACACCTTAGCACACATACCCACTCTCCCACCCCACCCTCTGGGTCATTCATCTGCTGCAGTTTTTGTTTTTTTTCCTAAGAAAAGGAAATTCATATTGCTCAGTCCATTCTGGAAGAGTTCAAAGAACAAAGGATTCACCAGCTCAGGAGAAAGGAGCAAGCAGTCCTGTCCCTATCTTTGAGGCATATATACTAGTCTCCTAGAAGCCAGGAGGTGGGAGAGGGAGGTTGAGTGATTCTTTGGTCTCTGGTTCACTGTAGAACACCCTTGGTCAATTTTGGCTCTCTCCTATTTTAGGGGGAAAAATATTTTCATTTCTTTTTTTTAAAAAAATAAAACGCTCCCACAAGGGGAAAAAAGTGTTTTTAAGTGTTACACCTTAGCCAACAGAGCCCCAGCTGCCCGGATCCACTCTGCGTCAGTGTTCTGCTGGTGGCTGCAGGCCTGGGGGCCTCCCTGCTGCCGGTCACGGTCACGGGAAAGGAGCAGGGTGGGTAACGGCTGCTCAGTCCAGGAAGCGCTGGCAGGCCTTCTTCCACCTGCAGGCTGTGCACCACTGGTCCCGGTGCTCGATGCCATACACCTTACGGCACTTCTTGGCCTCGCCACGAGCTTTCCTGCCAAAGAATGGAATGAGGGCAGCGTCACACACCAGCAGATAGACCTTGGTAATAGCCAAGCATGAGGCCAGCAACCAAGCAGGCGTTGGATAGGGTGGCTCCTGACAAAAACCAGTGGCTCCCACAGCGAGCGAGTCAGGAGTTGGCTTTGCCAGTGTGGCCTCTGTGTGCGCACTGACCCTGGTGACCATAGCTGAGTAGATTCAGGGTCCACATCAGCAGTGCAGATGGGGGCTGGGACCACAAGGTTGAAGATGACAGCAGATGGCTCACCTGGTGCTGCTCTGAGCCCGGGGTGGAGAGGTGACAATCAGGTGAGACTTTGCTGCTGGTGGCGGTTGCTGCGGCTCACTGAAGCTGAGTGACCGGCTCCGGACCTGGGTATGGGGAGCCCAGCACAGGCTGTGAGCATGAGGGCCTCCTCGGGCCAGCTGGTCACAGTCCCCAAACCTTGCCATGCCTCACTGGGCCCCAGAGCAGGTGTTGGTGTGGGAGACCATACAGCCTCTTCAAGAAGGGCTTCTAGGCAGACAGGGCTCTGGGCAGCCAAGCCAGGTCAGGGGCCAAGTGCAGGGCAGTGAGATGAAGCAGGGGCCAGAGACGTGAGCCACCCTTAAGGCTCCAAGGGATTTACACGGAGCCACTGTACAAGGGTCAAAAGGAGGCATTATACAGCCTTGACGACACCTCCTGTCAACTAGGCTGCAGTGGGTGCCACCTCTCTGTGACAGACATGTGAAACTAAAGCCCACCTTGTGTGGTTCTAACGCCTTCCCCTTTATCTTAGCTCAGTCAAGGGTACTAGTCCAGGGTGGCCTGAGACCTCTGGTCCATCCCATGTGGCCTCCACATGCTCCTAACATCTTTCTTACAGTTTTCACTTGACAGCCCCACACTCCCTCTCTTCTTTTCCTGGGGGCATTAAAATTCTAATAAGCATTCATGGAGACCCACTACTATTCAGGGAGTCAGGTCTTAGCCAGCAAATTTCTAAGCAAGAAAACTGCTTGACCCTGACTCCTCTGGGAGTATCCTAGCTTCTGAGAAGGACAGTGGCCAGATAGACAGAGAAGGACACAGAGTGATCTCCATCAAGTTCAGGGGTAGAGACAGATAACACCAGCCACATGCCGTGTACTAATGACACGGTCCCACAATCCTGGGCATATATGCAAGAGATCTGGGGTGTTGAGACATACACTCACCGGAGAGAGAGGGGAGGTGGTGGTGGGGGCAGCAGCCCAGCTGATGCTGGTATAGATGTGGGGGGAGACAGGGATCTGGAAGGACGGCAGAGCCTGCAGAGACAAGAGCATGTCAGCCTGGCCTCTAGCTAAGAATGCATCTGTCTGGGTCCCAGTAACTTCCCATTTGCCACAGAAGGCTTATGTTCCTATGTGAGATGACTGAAAAATACCAGACTCTGAGACAGATTTTCCCATGAGCAGAATCACAGCATCTAACCCTTGAATATAGCCTCCTTCGGGTGAGACTCCAATCGAACTTTGCAACCCTCCTCTCAGGGCTGGTTACTTGCCAGCCCCATGGCTTAATCCTTGCAGGGTGTGCCAGACTGGAACACCTACCGAGAACACTGCCTCAGGCAACTGCCAAAAAAAAGTTCAAAGCCTTCTGAGTCTGAGTAATCTTAAAGGAAAATGACAGCCCTGCCAAGCACCTCCTCAGAAGTAGGGACAGAGGCAGAGATGTCTGGCTGAGATCTATGTGTAACAGTGCCAGCCACACTGTCCAGACACCACAGAGTCAACTAGGGCTGGACATAGGCCAAAGATGAATTAAGTGGTCACTAATTCTAACAAGGACAGCCTACTTCTTTGATAAAGGTTTTCTGACTGAAAGCACTACTGTTTTGTTTTTGTTTTGTTCTGTTTGAGATACAGTCTTAAGGCTGGTCCTGAACTCTCCATCCCCCCCGTTCTACCTCCCCAGTGCTGGCAGTACCAGCATGCACCAGTGGCAAAAATTTAACACGACTTTTTAATTACTAACTTGCAAACTGCTCAAGAGTCTGATAAGAGCCAAACTGTAAGCAGAGAAAGGACTTTAAAGCCAGCGTGTAGGAGCATGAATCTACTGTGCAGGGTGACGGTCATCCTACCTGACATCTCCTGCCCCCATGGACAACTTTCCCAACCACATGAGCCTAATGGCACGGTGCCCTAGGGCCTGCAGTGCCTTCTTCACACTTCTCCAGGAGGCGGTACTTTGGCAACTTGCAATCAGTCCCAGCTGAACCCTCACTCCTCTCTTCAGCTCCCCATGCACTCTTCAAGGGCAGAACTGTGTCCTACTCTTTCTGAAAAGCTTACCTGACCCAGTGTTTGACACCTATAAAGAACTCAAAACTGGACTGTTCAACGTAATGCAATTCTATGAGCTGAAGACTTGCCTGGGAAGGCCTGTAACCTGCAGGATTCCAACATCTCTTTCAGCTAGTGAGGTGGCAACCCCCAGCCCAAGCCCATGCACTTGGCATCTGGCTAGATTTCTCTATCTACTGAGCATGGCAGCAGTTTCTGTTCCCTTCTTTTCCTGATTTTTGTGTTTTGTTTTGAGACAGAGTTTAAAACATCCCAGGCTGGCTTCAAAGTCCCTATATAGGCAAGGATGACCTTAAACTTCTATTTGTCCTGTCTCCTCTCTACCGTCCAAGTACTGGGACTGCAGATGTGCACCACCACACCTAGTTTATACAGTGTTAAGGACTGAACCCAGGGCCTTGTGCCAGGCAAGCTTCCACCAACTGGGCTACATCCCCAGCCTTCCCTTTCTTGTAGAAGATTATCAACTTGGCCAAAGGGCTCAGTCTTCAGTCAGGGTAGTCACAGACCTGTGATATGAAGACCAGAGACCACCGAGATGCCAGAATGGCAGCCCCCCCATGTACGCCTGCTCCATACCTGGTAAGCGTGGTCAGCCTGAATGTGCCAGAAGGAGCCAGGAGCTGACTTGCTGAGTGCAACTGAGGGCAGGGAAGACTCCACGCTGGGGTGTTCTGGGCCAGAGGACTGGACTTTGGGTGGAGGCAGTGAAAGAGCAGCAGGGGACGAGCCGGTCACACGAGAGGTGGTCACTGGCTCAGTGGTGGGTGTCCCGGCGGTGGGAGGCCCAGCCACAGCAGAGTCTTCCTTCATCTGCATTTCTGTGTAGTAGAAATCCTCCTCCCGCTTGAACTGATCAGAGTCCACAGTGTCCCTGTGTGGAACGGACATGGCCATCATTAAAAACATGATCAGAGTCCAGAGTGTCCCTGTGTGGAACGGACACAGCCATCATCAAAAAGACGCTGTCTTGGTTTCAAGCCAGAGAAAGGTGAGGAGTGCTTGGGTCCACCTAGGAAGTCAGGGAAGGTGCCCAAGAGAAGACCCAGAGCCCTGCTTTCTGTGGGTACCACAAGGGACTAGAGCCTGCACATCTGTTGCAGTTGTAGAGTCTTCCCTGGCATGAAGGTTCACACACTCACCAGAACATGTGTGAAGACCAACTCAACCCTGCCACAAGCCTTCCTGGTAGTCCACCTGCCCACAGCACACTCCCAAAGCCTGTGAGGCAGCTCCTGCCACAGCAGCTGCCCAGAGATGAGGCCCTCACATCAGCACTGTTGCTGATGGAGACCTAACTCTCTATTGGGGGGTGGTGGGGGGGACCATGGAAAACAGGAACAGAACTTGTCCTCTGTAAGTCTTGGCCATGGAATCTCACCAGTGACTAAATGGAACCATCCTAGTTCCACCCAGAACTGAAGTATTTTGCTTCCTATACTAGGCAGGAAGATGCACTGACAAGATAAAAGAGCTCCTTCCCCATCAACAGCCTCAATACTAACTGCCATGTGAAGGCCTCCCTGCCTGATGAAGTCATTGCCCCAACAGTGACCCGGAAGGGAGATTAAACAGTGTTTTTAGCAAGCGATTTCACTGGAAACACTCTGGACTATGGGTCCTGAGGAGTTAGCAGGGTAGAGGCACAGCTAAATGGCACTCTAGGCAAGAGGCCCTAAGCTCTGTACCTACCCCAGATGGAGAGCTTTGACGTGTCGTTTGATGCCCACGATTGAGCGCAGAACTTTGCCACAGCTGGGCCATAGGCACTTGTACATCACCTTCACGGAGTTCTAGGGGAAAAGAAGTCTGGGTGACTTGTGTGCAGCCCTCTGCTGGCCTCTCTCATCTCACTTGGTGGGGACTTCTGCTAGCTGCCATCTTTGGCCAGACCTAAAAGGCTCTAGGGAAGGAACTCTCATGGAGCAGAGAAACGCACGCAAAAGAGCCCAAAAGGGTGGCCCTGGTGGCTACATAAGAAAGCCGGACATAGTGACACACACGTGTAATACCAATGCCAGGGAGCCAGGCACAGGTGGATCCCTGAGGTTCAGTGGCCAGTCTGCCTAGACTACCTGGTAAAGTTCAGGCCAATGAGACATCCTAAAACTTGGCATGACGGTACACACATTCAGTCTAGACTACCTGGTAAAGTTCAGGCCAGTGAGACATCCTAAAACTTGGCATGACGGTACACACATTCAGTCCCAGCACTCAGGAGGTAGAGGGGGCGGATCTCTATGAGATCGAGGCCAGCCTAGCCTACATAGTAAGTTCCAGTCCAGCTGGGGCTACAGAGAGACCCTGTCTCAAACACACACACACACACACACACACACACACACGCACACACACACACACCAAGATGAACAGCACCCAAGGATAGCACTCAAGGTTGATCTCTGTCCTCCATATACACACACATAAATATACCCAAAAAATTAATGAAGAGGAGCCAGTAACTGCTGGGGAACACCACAACAGATGCAGCAAAAGAAAACTGCTGTGAGAAGGAAGTTTCAAATACCCAGGACCTCAGAGTCCCCGCTCCTCCAGGGACAGTCGTTCTCACACGCACCCTCACCAGTCACTTACCTTCCTCTTTCGTGGAGCTGGTTCATCCAACAGAAAGGGATCAGGATCCGTCTCAAAGCCATGATCCGTGTGGGGGGACCCAAAGGCGTCCCCCAGGTACTTGGGGCTGGCCTGAGGGTGGGGCGGTGAGGGAGTGGAGATGCCACTGCTGCCGCTCCAGTGCCCACTGGTGGTGCTGCTGCCACTATCTGACACGTCGCCGCTGTCCTTCCATGGGTCACCACAAGCTGCTCGGGAAACTGGCAAGAGAAGAGAGATAAAAGCACATTTAGGGGGCTCAGCCCCAGGCACAAAAGAAAAGAATAAAAAATAATTAATTTGGGGTTGGGGATTTAGCTCAGTGGTAGAGTGCTTGCCTAGCAAGCGCAACGCCCTGGGTTCGGTCCTCAACTCCAGGGAAAAAAAATAATAAAATAATTTACATTAGGGGGAGTTGGAGGGAGATAGTGATGGACAGATATGATCAAAATACAGTGTATAAATACATGAAATTTCCAAAGATTTTTTTATAGTATTTTCCAAAAAAATACTATAGTCAGGCATAGTGACATATACCTTTAATCCCAGTAGTCAGGAGGGAGAAATGGGCAGATCTCTTTTGAGCTCAAGGCCAGCCTGGTCTCTACAGAGGGCTCCAGAACAGCCAGGGATCAGAGGTTACAAAGTGACTGACCTCCCCCCACCCCTGTATCTATAAATTCCTTCCTGAGCTGCAGTAAAATGACGATACATGCACACACTGCAGCAATTTTCGGTGTCAAACCTGCTCTGCCTGTGGAGATGTTTTCTGCCATGGCCATATAGGCCGTCACTACCCACCTCGTGCACACTGCAGCTGCATTTTACAAAGGAGTAACAGAAAGAATCCAATTCTACCTATTTCCTGCTGTGCATGCTAAAAAGTAAGAGGAAGCCTCTCCTGGTTCCAGCCTGGTAGTCTGTCTGAGGACACACAGAGGGACAGCACGGGGACATCTGGCTGAGGGGCATGAGGGCTCCTGAAGGACCTTCTTGATGAATTTCCTAGAGCTATGCAGGGCTCCTAAGGCCCACAGCTGCCCCGTAGTGGCCAGGTAACTAACTGCCAGGTGACAGGAGGCTTTGGTGCCTGGTCTGGCACTGCAGCAGTCACCTGCCCCTAAACTCAGAAGTGTGAGCAGAAGCAACTCAGTGAGTAGCATTTTTATGCTTAGTTTTTCTCTGTTTCCTTTTTCTATTTCGTTTTTTGCAGTGCTTGGGATAGCACCTGGGGCCCAGGGTATTCTAGGTAAGCACTCTAGCCAGCCTGGCTTTTTATTTTTAGGACAAAACTCAAAACCTATCCAAAAAGCCAGGATATCCTGGGCCCCCAAACATAGACCCAAGAGGGAACAGGAGTCATTTCTCCCCCTTCAGCTCCCTTCCTGGGTGTGCCGGCCCAATCTCTTGGACTTCCTTCCTCGAGGTCTTAACGGGGCTCATAGGGCAGACATGCATTACTGAGATTCCCCACTAGATGGTCCCCAAGTGCAGTGACATCCTTTGGGTGAAATAATTAAACGTGCTTTCTCCCTAATATTTACTTTCAGTCTAAAGGGATGACTTATGAAAGACACTTGTAAAGGCCACTTTCTCTTGGTATGTACTTGGAGCTAACTCCATATTCTCCTGCAATTCGCTGAGGTTTCACAGATTAAAAAACTTCTCCCCTGGACATATGGGCAGGTCAGACAAATAAGGAATTTCTATTGAAAATGTCAAGTCCACTACCAGTCTTATCAAAAGACAGACATTAGAAACCCTTCTCCCCCACATGCCAGTACTGATAAAGTACTTGGGGATTATAACCAGGAGAATTTTGTTTAAATCTAAACATTTGACGTCATAACTAGTGTGTGTGTGTGTGTGTGTGTGTGTGTGTGTGTACACCACAGAGTGCATGCGGAAGTCAGAGCACAACTTGCAACAATCAGTTCTCTTCTCCCATCATGTGGGTTCCAGGGATCAAACCCAGGTTTTCAGGCTTGGCAGCAAGCACCTTTACCTGCCGAGTCATCTTGTCAGCCCATATTTCTGGTTTGTATTAATCAACTGGATTTGACACTTCAGCTTAGGTACTTGGACTGAGAACTCAGGCACTTGGAAGGGGGTATGAATTATCAGAAGCCACTAGGAGACCCCAGCATAGTTCTGCTTTTGTGACTATTTCTCCAGGCCTTGCTCAGGCTTCAAAGTTCACTCCCACAGAACTTATTGGGAGTAGCCAGTTTGGCTCTGTGCTAAGCTCAATTACTGTCGTAAAGCACCAGGAAATTTTTGCTCAGATGAGGAGACAGCTTCTAACTCAACAGCACTGTGTCTGAAGAGCCCCAGAGCTCTATGGCCAAGCTGACTTTGGCATCAAAGCAGAGGCTATCAGTCGTGGGCCTCTGCCATGTCTGGAACCCATCCAGCCCTGCTTGCTCACCAGAGAAGTTGGCTTCAGCCCCAGGAGGACTCTGCACGACAGGGCTGCAGGACAGAGACGTCAGCACCATTGCCGCCATCATCTCGTCCATCTCCACCGCATCCGACTTCCTAGATTCACATAGGTGGGAAGTTAAGATTACTTCCTGAGCCCAGCTGGTTACAGAGCCCACAGACTAAGTAAGCTACCACATCCAGTTATTTTTATGGGATCACCTTACACTGCTGTACTGTGCCCTGGGAGCCCCCATCCAATCAGCCAGAATGAGCTCAAGTGATGGGAAATAAAGCACGGAGGCCTCTCTTCACACTTCATTAAAAAAACGCCCGTTCTGAGAGGTGTTTATATTGGATGAGCCCCAGGATGAGGTGGGCCCCCTGCCTAAACTGGGCTGGCACCCGAGGCAGCTCCACTCTCTTGACATCCCTTCTAACCCTGCAGCTTAAAATGGAGCATTTTATTGGGGTAGAGAGAAGACTCGAAATGATCAAAGAATGGGAATCAAAGATGCCCGCTGGATGCAAATGTGTAAGATTACCTCCATCCCATCTTATATTTAAACATAAGAGGAAACAATTACGCTAACTTATATCTCTTTCCTCTCTGCCAAAATAAACATGGCGTTCTGTGAGCTTCTCAGTGTCAACAGAACCTATTGCATAAGCCTGTGAGCAAACAAACCAGAAAATAAGTAACCAGATGGAACAGGTCTCCCAATGGGAAGCTCAATGCTGTGTACAGCAGGGCTGCAGAGAACTTCACATGTGATCTTGAAAGACACACACTTACATGATCTGGAAGCAAAATTAGCACTGACTGAAATCTAAGGTATTAGGAAATCAGAATGGAATAAACATCCATGTGGCCTGCCTACTTCAAAGGAGCACATTCGTTCAGGCTCTCTAAGCCAAGTCTACTAATTTAGGCAACTAAGCAGTCAAACCAAGACCATCAATATAGCAAACATGATCTTTGAGTTTTCATGTCCACTGAATAGAAAGACAAGCTCTGCTGGCATTGCACCGCGTGCACAATCAGAAATGCTGCTCTGACCTTAAAACACCAAGTCTGCTGGGCTGGAGAGATGGCTCAGGGACAAGTCTGACTGCCTGAGTTCGACACCCATAATCCACATGGTAGGAGAGAATGGACTCCTCCAAGTTGTTCTCTGACCTCCACATGTGTATGGCATGTACATAACCACTCCCATATCCACCCTCAAACACCCAATAAATAAATTATTAGATAGATAGATGATAGATAATAGATCGATATTTAGATAGATGATGAATAAATAGATGATAGATAGATAGATAGATAGATAGATAGATAGATAGATAGATAGATAGATAGATAGATGATAGATGATGATAGGTAGATAGAAAGATAGATGATAGATAGATAGATGATATTTAGATAGATGATGGATAGATTAGAGATGGTAGATAGATACAAAGATATATACATAGATAGATAGATAGACAGATAGATAGATAGATAGATAGATAGATAGATAGATAGATAGATAGATAGATAGATAAAGAAAAAGATTTTTTAAAAACACTGAATCTGCCAACACCACGCACAACCCAGAGGAAAAAAGGTGGCCTAGGGTTTAGTTGTTCGAATACCTTGTACATAAAGCAATCACAGCTGGCAAACTCTCCTGTTCTTCCATTTTCATTTATTACTGTGTGTACATGATGTATGAGTGTGGGTGCTTGCATGTAAGGGTCACTTTGTGGAGTCTGTTCTCTCCTTTCACCTTTACTTGGGTTCAGTATTAAACTTACATTGGCAAGTGCTTTAGAACTGCTACGCCATCTCCTGGACCCAAGTTTTCTTTTTAAATCTTAAAAGATGAATATACATAGATCATAGGACAGACATTAGGATGTCGAGTCCTGGGATAAAGTCGTATCATAAAACTCTAAAGCAAAATATCCACTTGTCCCAGAGTGCCTCTGAATGTCCAAGCCAGGAGTCAGACGGGGCTGTGCTCTAGATGTAGCCCACTGCCCGTTTATTTTTTGAGCTAAGGATGGTTTTACCTCTTTAAATACTATTTAAGAATCAAAAGAATATTATTTGACAAGTGACACATACAAATGATACTGAATTATAGTGAAGCGTGGGGATCCGGATGGGTTTTCACAGGAGAGAGGCCATGCCCACATCACATGCTTTTGTGTTAGATTCGATGCATTCTCAGCAGAGATGAGGGGTCCTGACAGAGACTGCTTGGCCCACAAGGCTGAAATCATTTGGTGTGTGGCCCACTCAGAGTCAGTGCTCACTCTAAAACAGTGTCTGTCTCTTCTCATGAAAACTTATGAGCTCAGTTTTGCAAAACCAAATATATGTCACTCCTAAGGGAATTACAGGGAGGAAAAGATATCATTCAGGTTTCCCTAAAAGGATATCTCTTCTGTATCTCATTCACTATCCTGGCAACTAGGTATTCAGGACCCAATAATCCTCCCACCATGGGGCAGCCCACACCACACCCTTCACAACCCCTACTAACCTCTTTGGAACGTCGATGTTCCTAGACACTGGTCTGTAGGCTGGCACCTGGACTCTGGGTTCCAGGGCTGGCACATGGGATATGGCACCCTGGAGGTCTGCCAGCCACACTTCCTCCGCTTTGCAGCAGATCTGTAATTTCTGGTCCAGTAGCCAGACTGTCACCTTGTCCTCTGCCCAGTCATGCTGCTCCACGAGGCCCACACACTCCTGACCTCCATACCACACACAAACCTGCAGGGAACAGTGGTCAGGAGTCAACACCCAGGAGTTCCCACCCCAAAGCCCTCACAGACCCAGGTTCAGGTGTCAGGCTGTGCTGTGCCCACTGCAGTCTATGCTCTGATTCACTCATCTTTAATTTGTGCATGCTAAAATCTGAGTAGACCCCATCCCTTCCTCCCTACAAAATTCACATGTTAGAAAGTTAATTCCCAAGACCACAGTGTCAGACAGAAGGTAAAGTCTGGTAAGAGTGGATACATCATGAAGACGGTGCTGTCAGAGATGGTTTGTCATTAAAGGAGTGGGTCAGTTATCCCGAGGGTGGGGTAGATATATAGAGGGTGTGGACTGTTATAAAAGCAAGTGTAGATCCTCCCATCCTCTAACCCTTACCCTCTCTTACCCAGTCTCAGAGTCTTGGGCCAAATAAACTAGTGTTTATAAATTACCCCATATCGGGATATTCTGTTACAACAGCTGAAACAAACTAGGAGAGAGCAGGTATTCCCAGGCACTTGCTGCCCACCTGAGCACCCAGATTAGCCATATAGGATTAAGTCTTCCCTACAAGTCCCTACACAGTCTCCAACTGTAGAGGGCATAGCAACAGCTGGGTTTCTCTGAGTCCCAAGAAACCCACTGGTTTGTAATATAATCTGTGACCATCCCCTATTACTATCCCCCGTCCTTGCCTCTGAAGTTTTACATGCTGGTACTGTCCCTCTGGAAAGTTCTGAGTCCACCTGAGCACGTGTTAGAAAGTGATAGAGGCAGGCTGCTCTCTCACCAGGGAAACTGGAAGTTGGCAGGCTGCCTCGTCTCGTGAAAGCACAGGCCTAGGGGGCACCAAGCCTCATGGGGAGTCAGAGGGCTAAGTCTCTGTGAATGGACCCTTGATACAACAATGGCAGAGAACCCCACGGATCTGGATCTAGTGATAAAGCAGGCTTCGGTGACCACAGGCCCTGCCACGGGGGAGGGGGCACAGGGACAGGATACTCAGATCAGATTTGGGCTCTACCACCATCTTCAGCTCCTGAAAACCTCTTCTCTGACACATAGTCTTAAGTCCTTCCCCTGATTTCCTAAAGGTTTATAAAGTGAGACAGATGAAGAGCCACTGAGTTAAGGCCATGCTTCAAGCTAAGGTTCTGAGCATTCCAGAATGCCTGGCTACCTTCTCCTCTAGAAGAGAATCATGGAGGAGCCCAGTTCTGAAATGCAGTACATTTTCTCACTAGGGTCCCAGTGTGCAGGGCTTCCAGCCTGTCACTTGGGCACCTCTGGTCTGCCAGACCCAACCCTCAGGAGGCAGGAAGCATGTTAGCATTGGGATCAACCAACCTTCTGTCCAGGCTGAAAGGCCACCTGTGGGAGGCCTGAGGTACCCAGAGTCTTGAGGACCTCCTTGGGCTGTTCCTGGCACACAGGGTCCTTAGAGGTGAGTAAGGGCTGGGGAGTGGCTCCCTCTGGCACTTCTGCCTGTGGCTCCAAGGGCAGGCTGGTCCCCAATGGCACCTCTGAGGCACTGGGTCCCAACACCCGGGCTCCCAAGAGGGAGCGCTTACCAAGGCGTCGGGACAGCATGCTGGCGACACTGCTGTGTCTGGTGAAGAAAAAAAATTGACAGTGAGTCCCTCTGAGGAGACAGAAGCTCAGCACAGGGCTCTGCTGTACTTTATTTCTACAGAAATGGGATTGCTTTTGGCAAGCTGAGTTTTCACTTAATAAACCAGGTAAGTTTTTCCTATATCACGTTTTATTCTATAAAAGGATACACGCCAGGGCTAGAGTGATGGCTCAGCAGTTGAGCATGCAACTGGTCTTGCAGAGGACTCGTTTGGTTCCTAGCACACGTCAAGCAGCTGACAGCCACCTGTAACTGCAGGGGAGCTGACACACTTCAGACCCTATGGGCACCTGTACTCACACTCACAGACCCAGACCCAGATACACACAATTTAAAAATGGCCTAGTGTGGTGGCACACACCTTTGATCCCAATACTCCAGAGGCAGACGTAGGCAGGTCTCTGACACCAGCCTGCTCTACACAGTGAGTTCCAGACCAGCCAGGGCCACATAGTGAGATCCTGTCTCAGAAAACACACACACACACTTTTTAAGCAGATATACAATGACTAGATGATTAGTTTAACAAACTCCCTACTACTGCCCTGAAGGCCGGGTCAGTGCTTTGCTGCCTCAGCCTACTAGCCTGCACCAAGCATCCTCTTAGCGGAGCCTCAGAACACACAGCCACAACTACTTCCTTAGTGAAGGTCCTACACAAGGGCGTGCCAGGTCAATGTGGAAGGTTTTTAGAAATACAGTCTCCCAAGCTGAGTCTGCTTCAAAGCTACAGATGGCCTTGGAAACCCAACCTGCTGCTGTCCTCATTCAAGAAATTAACACCAAGGGCCAAGTGACATGTTCAGTGATGAAGGTCCCTGAGTTGGTGCCAGAGCTGGTGCTGGAGCCTTAACAGGGCTCACAGAGCATATCTCTTCCTGCGAACCTAGATGTCCCTGTCCTGCTCCCGGGCCTGTGTTTGTCAGTGGAAGGAGGAAAGACCAACCTGTGCTAACTCGCTGGCCTCCTCCTCGCAGCCATCCTGTACCTCATCTCCACTGTGTCTCCAAACACAGTCCTAGCCTCTGCTGATCCAGGTCATCTGTTCACCCATTTGTGTATTCAGGGGGTATCTAGCCAGGGAGGAGATACGTGTGAAACTGTCCCAGGTGTGGTGGTGATGTGGCAGGTGTAAAACACCTGGGCTCTCAGGACTTCGATTCCAACTGCTGCTTCCCAGCCCTGAACAATGCTGGGCTAAGTACACATGGGCTGGGCACCTCAGAAGAGTGTTGCACCACATTCCTCCTCTTCCCCCTTCCCATTCCCTCACTTCACAAAACCTGTCAGGACCAACAAAATGGCTCATCCGGTAAAGGCACTTGCTGCCAAACCTGACCACTTGAGTTTGATCCCTGAAACCTACGTGGTGGGAGAGAACTAACTCCTGTATGTTGTCCTCTGACCTCCAAACACATATACACAGTGATACACATACATACAATAAATACATGTAATGACCTGTGTTTCTAACCCTACATACCCTTAAAAAAACTGAAGCCCAGGAAGCTGGAAAGATGTTCAACGGTTAAGAACATTGGCTGCTCTTGCACAGGAACCGGGTTCGGTTCCCAGCACCCACATGACAGCTAACAGCCATCCTTAACTCCAGTTCCAGAGGATCCGACACCCTCTTCTGGCCTCCACAGGCATTGCACAACACTGGTGCACTTAAATACATGCTGACAAAACACTCATAAAATAGAAAAAAAAAAAACAACTTAAGCCTATCAGTGTGAACTTTCTTTGAACAGTTCTCTAGACCTTTACTTTTCACCCTGATCCAAAAGTACTTCAGGGCTTGTCTGTGTCCCAGGACATTGCCCCACCTCCCCAATCCTGGCCTCTTTTCCTAACCAGTCAGGCAAGTTCTACCAGCAAGCATCTCTAAAATAACTATAAAGGATAAGAAAGTGGTAAACACTGATCAAAGTGGAATGGCTGGTTTCCCCAGCTGTACTCAAGGCCTCAGGGGCTGCAGTCTGTTAACATGGAGTCTCTGCTGTGAACTCTCAAGAAAGCAAACCAAATATGTGGGAAAGGCAGAGTGTGGTGGCTGGTGCCTTCACACTCTTTCAGAAACCTTCTTGGCTACAGTTATAAACAAAAAACCCACACGCGGGTAAATCCTGATCATAGAGAAAAATATATATACCCTCAGGTAAATGGCTTCGAAAATGAACCCACCCAGACTGGGTAAGTGGCTCAGTGTACAGTGTCTGCCTAGCAGAGAGAAGCCCTGGGTGGTCTGCCCAGCACAAGAATCCAAAGCGGCTAAATTCCCAGAGCAAAGAGAAGCTATGAGTGCAATACCAGTTACTGACATCAGGTGGCAGCATCAACTCAGAAAAACAACCAATCCTTTTCTTGGCAAAGAATCCCAACAGCCACCCCCACTTTCCAAAGCAGGAAGTTTAGGGTTTCTGCCACTGAAAATAGAGAGAGCTGTTTCCAAAATTCCTCGGTTTCCAGTCTTCAGAAAGAGCCTGAGATGTTTGGTCAACAAACTGACCATGGGTTTGGAAGCCTCTATCTTTTCTTTAAAGAATACTTTTCTTGTTCATTGGTGGAGCCTGCACCAGCTAGATCTGCATAAAGTAGGCAACCTGCCTGCCCACTTGGGGCTTGCTTCCACGGGCTGGCTAACCTTTCTCCAAAATCTACTCAAAAACACATTTTATTAGCTGGGTGTGGTGGCACACCCTGTAATATCAGAACTTGGGAAGCTGAGGCAGAAGGATTACCACAAGTGCAAGGCCAGCCTAGACTGACTACATGACAAGACCCTGTGTCAACGACCCTACAAATAGACTTTATTACTGGTTTTATTTATAGTACTCCTAAATCTTAATTTTCAAAAGCAGAAGAGAAAGAAGGAAGGGAAACTGTCTTTATTAGTACCTCTTGGGTACTAGCTTTCATAAATCGCATCTAATTTAATCCTCAGAAGGCACTGAAATAAATGCATGGTCTTTGACTTCCAAGATAACTGGGCTTTAGGAGGGTCAGACTACCAAGACTGGAAACAGCAGCCCTGGACTTGAAATTCACATCTGTCCAATGTCCAAGGTCACAATCTTGCCGCTGACTCAGTATGCACGGGACCTCATAATACATCAATTCAGTTGCTTACTTTGGAGACAGGGTCTGCCTGTAGCCTCAACTGACCCGGAACTTGCTACGCAGACCAGGCTGGCCCCAATCTCAGAGATCCATCTGCCTCTGCCTCCAGATGTGTGCTTCGTTCAATTAAGTTGTTTTTCCCCACATATGTGAACCTTGAGGGGAAAAAAGTTCTTCTGGATTTAGACTTCCATTTCCCATGTACTTTCTGCTCCTTGGAAATCTCTTCCTCTCTGGCATCTCAGCCTCCTCACAGAAAATGAATGCCAACACTTCTGTGTGACCTTTTCGTGGGTTTAAGGTCCTGTTGATCATTTAGTGGCTGGGGTTTGGGGGAGGACCTCTATACACATACCACCCCTGAGAAGGCACAAAGAAATAATATGATCATGAAATTAGGAGAAATTTGGCCAAATTTATTTACACCTGGCAGTTCGGCATGGAAGTGGAAAACATGGCTCTAGACAACCAGGGGTCACTGGCCTTCGGAGTCACTGGCATCCCTGGTATAGCATCATGGCTGTGGTGTGGTGGCTGGTACAACAGCCAAGAGGTCTCAAGGGTTCAGAAGTGAATGTGGCAATAACAGGAGAGCTAGGTGGAGGAGCAACGTCAGGCTACTTTCAGGATCACCACGGCCCTCCTAGCATGGCTGCACTGTCTTCTCTGACTTCAGCTTCTATCCACTCTCCCTACTGAATACTTTCTTTTTAAAATTTTTTTAAGATTTATTTTAGGGGCTGGAGAGATGGCTTAGCGGTTAAGAACACTGGTTGTTCTTGCAGAAGATACGGGTTTGAATCCCAGCACCCACATGGCAGCTAACAATTGTCCATAACTCCAGTCCCAGGGGATCCGACAGCCTCTTCTGACCTCCGCGGGCATTGCGTGACACGGGTGCACTAACCTACATGCAGGCAATACACGCATACACATAAAATAAAAATATTAAATAAGGTTTTTAAAAAAGATTTATTTTAAATTACCTATATGTGTATGTCTGTGTATGGGTCTGTACATACGAGTGCAGTGCCCATGTATGTCTGTTTATGGGTTTGTACATACGACTGCAGTGCCCACGGAGGCAAGGATAGGGCATCAGTCCCCTGGAGCTCACTCTACAGGTGGTTGTAAGCCGATCCACACAGGTTCTGGGAACTGAACTCGGGTTCTCTGCAATAGCAACAAGTGCTCTTAACCACTGAGCTATCTCTCCAGCCTCTGGATTTTTTCTTGAGAGCTACCACTGGTTGGTGTACCAGCAATCCCCTTTTTTGCTGTGTGCTTCTGCAGCAGCAGAGAAAAGTTCAGACACCGCTATTGTAGAACCACCAGGACAGGATTTCGGCATGTAGCCAAGTGCTGCTTTACGACGGAGTTCACATTCTCACTTACAAAATTCTTTGCTTGATCACAAGCTCAAGCTAAAGCCATCTCAGTACAGTTTTAAGGGGATCTTGTGCCCCAACTGCTGTCCCCACTAGGAGAGGATGACTACCCTAGAACATGTACTCTGGTCAACATCAAGAGAGGGTTAGCTCTTGTCCAGGCTCAGCAAACACATCCTGATGTGCTAATGGCCTTTAATGAGGACACCTGCCACCAGTTAAGTAACTGGAACTGACAGATGAGTAAAACAAACTCTCCCTGTGGTTCTGAGTTGCAAATTGCTATTTACCACGTGACAGTGGCTGGACAACTGCGTGTCTCAGCACACGTCCGCATGTGCACACAGTTGCACACAATGGCTGTCTGTGCTCTCTTACCACCCAGGGGCATTGCAGCATGCCATGACATCACCTACTGGCATTTCTTGAACACAGGTCATAAGTCAGTGACTTATTACACAACTCATGGGGCTTTTGACAAGTTTAGAAGGCAGAAATTTGGAGGCTCCTATTGGCAAACGTTTTGGTGCTTACTGCCTGGCTAATGAATGATTTTTGGTCAAAGTGAGGGATGTGAACCTTTGAGGGGCTTGTGTTAAACCCCAGGTCTCTATCTTCACAGATCTCTCTTGCATCACACAGTAACTTGAATTTTTAGTCCCTGATATCCTGTGTATTAGTCTCCCTTCTTTACTAAAGAACTGACAGACCTTTTTTCCCTTTAAATCTTTAAATATTTTAACTTGAATTGTTTTTCAGTATTATGTCCTAAATTCAACCTCAAGCCAAAAGGTTAGTAGCAAACCCCATCTCTAAAGCAGAGCTCCACAGGGAACTTTTTCCAACAATGACTAGCAGGCATCTCTGTTGATAGATGCAATGTGCACTTGTGAACATGTTCATGGTTATAAGCAAGCATGTCTGTGGTCCTGGCTCTCAGGCCACCATCTGCACCTAGTTCCATCCCAGCACTGCTACCTGGTAGTTGTCACTCAGCATACTTGGGCCTTATTCTTCTCAGAGACAGGAGAAAATCCCATCTGGCTTCCATTACAAACCCCAGTGAGGCCATCCAAGACCCTAAGCCAATACCTCTAAGCTCAGAAATTATCAGTTTCTCTCATATCTGTGTGTGCAGGTGCAGTGTGTGCATGCCATGGCGCATGTATAGGTCAGAGGACAACTTCAGGTATCAGAACACATCCCAACTTTGTGTACGCCAGGCTACCTGGCCCATGAGTTTACAGGGATTCTCCTATCTCCATCTCCCTTCTCGCTGTAGGAGTACTGGGATTACAGACATATGCCAATATCCAGGTTTATATAGTTTCTAGGGATTTGAACCCAGGTCCTCATGCTTATACACTAAGTACTTTACCTACTAAGCCATCTCCCCAGCCCATATATTTTTTTTTTAAGATTTTCGTAATACAATCTTGAGACACACTGCACTGAGCATACTGGTATTTCTAAATCAGCAGGCCAGGGAGTCACAAGATGGCTCAGTGAGTGAAGGCAATTTCCTGCAAGCCTGGCAACCTGCGTTCAAGCCCCTGGATCCATACGGTGGAAGGAAAGAACCAAAGCCTACAAGTTGTCCTCTGACCTCCACATATGTGCTGTGGCATATACACCCATGTCCACAAAATAAATAAAATATAATTTTAAAAAATTAAAATCAGTCAGGCGTGGTGGCACACACACCTTTGATCCCAGCACTTCAGAGGCAGAGACTGGTGGATCTCCGCGAGATCGAGGCCAGCCTGGCCTACATAGCAAATTCCAGGCCAACTGGGACTACAGAGAGACCCTGTGGGGGCAGGTGTGGATACAGGTGGGATTCAAATCAGAGGGCCAGACAGTAAGTCTGAATTCTTAGGGCATTCTAGTTACTTTTTCTGAGTGGTTTTTTTTGTTTTGTTTTGTTTTTGTTTTTGTTTTTTTAATGGAGTACATTGCATCAGAGCACCACAGTTTAGGCTACCAGTGAAATTGCCCAGCCTCATTAAGGGCTGGACCCCTCTCTACAGCATCCCGGTAACTAAGCATCCAGCCTCCTATTACCCTAAGTAATAGATGTAATGGAATAATGGAAGGGAAGAGTAATGGTCTCAAATGACACGGCCATTTTCATATTCCAGCAGCTGGGTGAACATCTGGTTTACAACGAACAACAAATGCGCCTGTGGCTCTCAGCTTGGTGATCACTTGCTGGAGCGACAGAGGTGGCTCTGTTTACACTTCAGCAGGAAAGGAGCGGCATTCACCGCTCTACCCAGGAACAAACACTTCCCCTTCCCTCACCTACCTCCTCACCAGCTTTCAGAAACACAGCACCCTTTGTTCCTAACTGCCCTGCTTGCACAACTCCTTCAAACTAGACAATGCTCTGTACCCAGGGAGGGCTGGGAGACTTTTGACTATTTCTACTACTGAATAAGCATCTCTCATCTGAAAATCTCAAATTTTGTGAACACTCACAACCACAGGTTGAAAATTCCATGCACAGTCAAAACATAGGCACTTTAAAAATATTGTATAAAATTACCTCCAGGGTATATATATAAGGTATGTAAGAAACAAATGAATTCTGTGTTTGGACATGGGCTCCCTGTCCAAAATAACTTATTATGTATTTGCAAATATTTCCAAATTGTAATAAATAAATGCAGAGACTGGAGAGGTGGCTCAGAGGTTAAGAGCACATACTCCTCACAGAAGACCCAGGTTTGGTTTCCAGTACTCACATCAAGCAGCTCATAACTACAGCTCCAGGGGATCTGACACCCTCTTCTGGCCTCTGTGTGCACCTGCACACATGATACACATACAGACAAGTGCAAGTACATGCATATATGTACACATGTGTGTGCGTGCACACACACACACACATAAAGATAATTAAAACAAATAAATAGTAGCTGGAGAGATGACTCAGCAGTTAAGAGCACTGGCTGCTCTTGCAGAAGACCTGGGTTAGGCTCCCAGCACCTACATGGTGACTAACTGTCCATAACTCCAGTTCCAAGGGATCCAATGCCCTCTTCTGGCTTCCATGGGCATTGCACACACAGGTGAACCTACATATATATAGGCAAAACACTCATACACATAAAAATAAATTTAAAAGAAATAAATGCAAAACCTAATGATATCTGGCCTCAAACACTTCTACTGTGGAGTACTAACCTGCAGAACCAGCAGACAGGCATTAAATGAAAGACAGAGTTTTAAGTGTCACTCAAACTCAGTTCTAAGATTATTTTCTTAAAAGCAAGCACTGAGCCAGGCCTATGGTGCAGGCCTGTGATGCCAGTTACTCAGGAGGCTGAGGCAGGAAGATCACAAATTCAAGGCCTGCCTAGCTACAGACTGAGTTCAAGGTAAGCCTAGGCAACTCAGTGATACCCTGTCTCAAAATCTGGAAGCGGTAAGAAGAGGGCTGAGGGTACAGCTTAGTGGTAGAGAAGTTGCCTAGAATGCACCAAGCCCTAGGTTCAATCCCTAGCAACACACACATCCACACGTCTGTAGTCCCTATAGTCCCAGCTACTGAGGAGACTGTAGCAAAAGAAGGTTTACTTGAGAAGAGCCTGGGCAGCATAATAAGACCCTGTTTCAACCTCACGGAACTGTGCTGAAACTCCAACAGGATTGTTCCAGGAGACATCCTATCCACAGCCAAGTCTGAAGGGAGGGAGCTAGGAGCTGAGTAGCCCCAGGGAAAACAGGCCTCAGATACTAGACAGCTCTGTAGCTTTTCAAGGCAGGCTTAGAGGCCCAGTGATAGAGCTCAAAGTACCATACCAAGGATCTCTTGAGTGGCTCCTGGTCTACATTCACTTTAACAGACACTTTTAGAGGCTACTTTACTTTTCCTGACCTCCCGGTAAATCAATAAAATATGGAGAAGGCTTGGCTAGACAGCTCAATGGGTAAAGGTGCTAGCCAAGCTTGACAACCTGAGTTCCATCCCAGGGACCCGCATGGCAGAAAGAACCAACCTCTTTAGCACCCCCACACATACACAATAAATAAATAAATATAAATTAGTTGCCATTCTAGGTGACTATTTTTTTTAAGTGGTGTTTTTTGAAAGTGAAGCAGCTGTATATAAATAAATAAATAAATAAATAAATAGATGTAAAAAAACATTATTAACGTGGAGGGACAACAGTATCCTTATTTTACAGTTGAAAAACCGAGGTCCCTCAGGAAAGCCACTTGCTTGCCCCAAATCACAACACTAGCAATAAGAGGTATTCAGTGTCCCTGGCTCCTCCCAGGTCTGGTTCTTTCTTCTGGAAGAGGGTAGGTGGGAGGTGCAGCTCAGAGGAAAGGGGCATTCTGTGGGAAAGTGTGTTTCACTGGGAAGAAGGATCTACAGAGAGAACATCCAGAAATGACAATGGAGTCTGACAACACTGATATTCCCAAAACAAAGCACAGACACGAGAACTGTAAAAACCTAACAGTCGATGACTAGTCAACGCGAGGCTTGGAGCAGGCGCCCACTATGAAAGAAAGTTGAGTGGCAATGAGACTCACGGTCCCCTTCCTAACTCAGTAAACAGGATTCTGTTCTAGCTCCTTGAAGGAAGCAGAGAGGTACAGGACGTAGTTCACACAGTTTTTCATGTAACTGATTAAAGCAGAAACACCATTTGGAACTTGGCCATCATAGGAATGAATAACCACAGGCCCTGGTGATGCCAAATGAACGGGAATTGCTGCCTGCTGACAGTGAACCCGTTAAAGAAGGAAACTACTGCAGCATTCAGACGTCACTGGGAATTACCACATTCTCTGACAAGGCCAAACAAACAGGCAGTGAGCTTGGAGGGAGAGCAAAGGCTACCTGGCCATGCTCCTGGTTGGAGCTGTAGATCATATGACAATCCTGTGGTAGAAAACCAAGGCATACAGAGCTACAGGTGTCCCATGAATGTGTCACCAATCCAAATGCCAGGCTGGAGCTCAAAATCCAAAACTAAAGATGAGAAATCAAGCACTTGCAGACATGAGAGACATTACATCTACAAAGACACTCAACACTGAGAGCAGAAATCAAGGTGCCCCTACGTACCCCTCCAGAACCCAAGCCTCCTCAGCCAAGAGCCACCAACTTTAAGCCTCAGCGCCCCTCCTCATCTATGAAGGTAAGAATACACCTATCTTGCTAAACCCATGGGAGGCCAACACCTACAGGGTGCCCAGAATCCAGAAGGAAGAAACACTTTCTACTGGTACCATTAAGCCCAAGCTAGACAGCTAAACAACACTGCAAGTGACTCGGAGCTCTTAGCAGCCAGTCCAGCAGCAGCCATCTAGGAACTGGGGTCAGTCACACCAAGGTATTTATTGTACCAAAACCTGAAATACAACTATTGACTCTCAAGGAAACCCAGAAGCCAACCATGGGTGAGCCACTAATTAACTGAAATCCCAACAAAGCTGATTTCAGCAAGATAGGGGAACAAGAAATCCAGCCTCTTCCAGTTAGGGGCCTCCGGGCCAGGCGAACCAAACCCCTGGTTCAGCACTTAGACTAAGCTCAGTGCCAAGCTTTGGGAATCCAAAGCCAGAACCCGCCCCTGCCCATCTCTTGCGTGACCAGGCGCCTGTCACTTCTCTTCAGCCATGGGCTGCTCCCCTACTCAGCTCCCCTGTGCGTACATCTGTCTTGGGGCCCTACCCAGGGTGTTCAAGGCCAGCTGCCAAACCTCTCTGGGGTGGGGCCTGGCCAGCCTCAGGGAATGGATCTGGCCTATACTGGTGCTAAACCACACTTGAGCACTGACTCATCAGAAACCTAGGGATGCGGGTACTACAGGGCAAAGCCCTGGCCCTCAGCCGTCTACTGACACATAACCCAAGAGGCCAGTTCCTAAAAGTACACAAAACAGGAAGAAAAGGAGCATCCTGAGTTTGAGGCCAGCCTGGGCTACACAGTAAAGTCCAGGTCTACTTGAGCTATGTAAAGAGACACTATCTCCAAAACCACACGCAAAGGGGTTGGAGAGATGGCTAAGCGGTTAAGAGTACTGGCTGCTCTTGCAGATGACCAGGGTTCAAATCCCAGTACCCACATGGCAGCTAACAACTGTCTATAACTCCAGTTCCAGGGAATCTGATGCCCTCTTCTGACCTCCACAGGCACTGCACAACATGGGTGCACTTACATACATGCAGGCAACACACTCATACACATAAAAATAGAAAATATGTGTAAAAACCAGAGAGAGAGAGCAAGAAACAGAGAAACAGAGAGAGAGAAACAGAGGGAGAGAGAGAGAGAGAGAACACAGCCTAGCCAAAGTTCCACCTAGTTCACAAGGCAGCACCCAGCATGTAAGCACAAAGCACGTACCCCCCAAAGCTATTGTACGAGATGAATGGACGGACATTCATGTCTTTCAGAAAAAAAATAAATCTGCACTTTGACACCACAGCCTCATAAAGAAGACAGTATTTAGAATTAAGTTCATAAAGTTAGACAAATAGGTTTAAGTTTTTTGATGTAAGTTAAATGAGTCCAATAAAATGTTATAAATCCACCAAAAAGAAAACCTGCCAAGAGACTAGAGTTTAAGAGAGACAGGCAGACAGGTTAAGACAGATAGACAGGTTAAGAGAGACAGACAGGTTAAGAGACAGACAGGTACCCCCCCTTCTCAAAAATTAGGAAGTCAGCATTAAGTGAAGAAAATAAAAACATCTCGTGGAGACCATTGCGGGGGAAGGGTATTTTGGGGGTTTTTTGTTTGTTTGTTTGTTTGTTTGTTTTGGTCTTTTGAGACAGGGTCTCCCGGTAGCCCCAGCTGGCCTGTAACTATGCAGACCAGGCCGACCTTGAACTCACAGAGATCCACCTGCCTCTGCTTCCCAAGTGCTGGGACTAAAGGTATGCACCACCATGCCGGTTTTAATTTATTTTTATTTTATGTGTATGAGTATTTTACCTGCATGTATGTAAGTGCATGTCATGCAAAGCCCGAGGAGGCCAAAAGAGGGTGTCAGACCCCCTGGAACTGGAGTTAGCCACCAGTGCTCTTAGCCACTGAGCCATCTCTCTAGTCCCTTGTGGAGGAAGCCCATTTAAATACAAATGCACAGGGGCAGAGAGACTTGTCAGAGGCCCCACTAAGGATGAGCCGAGAGACTTGTCAGAGGCCCCACTAAGGATGGGCCGTGCCGTGCCGTCAACTGTGAGGAAAAGAGTTCAAAAACAAAACAGAGAAAGGAGCTAGATGGGTGTCTGCCCAGTCCTCGCTCAGGTATGTACTCTTCCTAAGCGGGCAGAGGGACAGCCGATGGAGCACAAGTGATGAAATAAATGAATGTGGTCAGTCACAGGGGCGGATGGCCCACACTCAAGTTCTGAAAGGAGAGGCCAGGAGGGGGTGACTGTCCCTGAGTCGGGGCAAGGGACAGTCAAGAAGGTCAAAAAGCACACGGATTCTTGCACTCGTCAGGGAAGTCACTGTACTTAGAGTGCTTTAGAGAAAAGGCAGCAAGATGTTCACAAGAATAAAAATTCACCTATTTCATTAGAACTGTTACAGCATATGGGGCTGGAGAAATGGCTCAGCGGTTAAGAGCACTGGCTGCTCGTGCAGAGGACCTGAGTTCAATTCCCAGCACCCACACGGTGGCTAACAACCATCTGTAACTCCAGTTCTAGGGGAATCCAATGCCCTGTTCTGACCTCCATGGGCACTGCATGACACAAGTGCACTTACACACATACAAGCAATACACTCATACATGTGAAATATAATAAAAAAATTTTTTCAAACTGTTACAGCATAAACAGGAGCAAAACAGGACACATTACACGTAACTCATGGCCTTTCCTGAAAGGCTGGCATTCAAGACCAGTCACTACTCAAGGACCTACATGCCAGTCATTAGCTCAGCATTTCACAGCTTGTACTTCCCTTAATCCTCCCTCCACAAATACCATGAGGTAAGCACCCCCATCGCTCCCATCTTCCAGATAAACAAACTGAGCCCCAGGAAGGTTGTGTCATTTTCCAGACCCACAGAGAGAGAAGCGGCAGACCTCTGCTGGAAGCTCAGACGGACTGACCCAAAAACAAGGCACTCCAAGCTCTGTATAGCAGGGAAAAATCTCGCAGAGCCAGGGGCCGGGCTAGAGGACCTCCTCTGGGTCCTTGTTGCTAAGACCTCGAGTCACAGAGAGGTTAATGTGGCACTGTGGTTGGGGCATGAAAGGGGAAATGCCTGGTAACAGTGGAGATCCAGGACGGGGCTTCCCCAAGATCAGGGCTCTCCTGAGAAACAACACAATCCAACAGTCTGGGCTGCAAACCAGCTCAAACTTCCCAACTATGTGACCTCTGAGGGGTGGGGTGGGGGACCTCTTCTCTGTGCCTCAGTTTCCTGACCTGTGAAATTGTAAAACCACTAGTTTCTATCCCAAAGGGTAATTTGAGGCCTTAATAAGACTTTTTTTTTTTTTTTTTTTTTTTTTCAAAAGTGCCTTGAGGGCCCTGGGGAGATGGCTTAGAAGATAAAGCACTTAAGATTGCAGGCTTGAGGACCAGAGTTCAGACTCCTAAAACCCACATAAATGCCAGCCAGGTGTGGTGGCCCACCTGTAAATGTAGCGCTTGGAAGGCAGAGACAGAGGATTCCCCCAGAACAAGCTGGCTAGCTGGCCTAGCAGTATCCGTGAGCAGTGTGTTCAACTGAGAAGCCCGGCCTGCCTCAATGCATAAGGTGGAGCGTGATGAAGGAAAAGCTCCAAACTCAGGCCTCCACACACGAGTACACATGCATGTACACCACAGACACACATACACAAGGGGGGGAAAGTGCCTTGGCTTTTCAGAGTCAACAAGTTCCACTTCCTAGAGATGCTGATTCCCCAGGTTCAAGAGAGAAAAATAAGGAAAAAGAAAATAAAGAGAAAATGCAAATCCAACACAGCACCCAGTATACAGTGGGTGTTTGCCACACACACACACACACACACACACAGTAGGCACCACCTATACATAGGTATAATTTTATTGGTCAAATAAAAATAAAGCCAGGCATGGTGGCACATGCCTTTAATCTCAGCACTTGGGAAGCAGAGGCAGGTGGATCTCTGTGAGTTCGAGGCCAACCTGGTCTATACAGCGAGTTCCAGGCTAGCTGGGGCTATAGGGAGACCCTGTCTCAAAAAGACCAAAAAATAAATAAAAATAAAATAAAGACAAGGGGCTGGAGAGGTGGCTCAGCAGTTAAGAGCACTGCCTGTTCTTGCAGAGGACCCAGGTTCAAATGCCAGAACCCATATTGTGGCTAACTACCATCCATAACTCCAGTTCTAGAGGCTCCGACACCCTCTTCTGTACTCCAAAGGCATTACACAACACAGGCACACTTACATACATGCAGGCAATATGCTCATACACATAAAGATAAAAATAAATCAAAAAATTTTTAAATAAAAAATAATAGCTAAAAACATAAAGAAAGGGGAGTGGCGACATTCAATTTTAATCCTGCATTTGGGAAGCAACATCAGACAGATCACTGTAAGGTGGAGCCCAGCTTGGTCTACATAGTGAGTTCCAGGCCAGTCAGGACTGCGTAGTAAGCCCCTACCTCAAAAAAACAAAAAGAAGGAAAAAAAAAAGATCTTTTTAACAGAAACACCACAAGGAGGAGTGGGTCGGGTGGTAACAAGAGACAAAAAAAGAGGTGGGTGTGGGTATGACGTTTCTGCATGTATGGGTAGGTGCACACATGCTACAGGGCCCCTGTGGATGTCAGGGGACAACATTGGGTGTCAGTCTTTGTCACTTTGTTTGAGGCAGGACATGGTCTCTGCTGATGCACTCCGTATGCCAGGTTAGCTGGCCTCCAAGCTTCCCAGGATTCTGTCACCATCTGCCATCTTGCCACAGGAGCTCTGGGGTTGGAGAAGTGCATCACTATGCCTGGCTAGGAGCTCTGGGATTACGGAAGTGCGCCACCGTGCCTGAATTCCACGTCTGGCTTTATGTAGATTCTGGGGACTCAAACTCAGGTCTTCATACTTGTATGGCTCAAAAAAAGAGATTTTTAACAAAAGAAACAGAGTTGAGGATTTACCAGCTCTATGATTGAGTACCTGGCTAGCATACATACGGCCCTACGTTTCATGCCCAGTACAAGGGAAAATAATAGATACCCAAACTGTAGGTAGATGAAGAGTCAAATTCATAAGTAGATTTTAAGAGAGTGCTACAGTGAAAAATAATAAATTAAAAAAAAATTTTAAAGGAAGAGTTGGAGAGATAGCTCAGCAGTTATGAGCACTGGCTGCTCTTGCAAAGGACCCGGGTTCAAATGCCAAATTGGCGGCTAAAAACCATCTAAAACTCCAGTTCCAGAGGATCCAACATCTTCTTTTGATCTCAATGAGCACTGCAGGACACAGGTGAACTTAACATCCCTGCAAGCAATATACTCATACACAAAAAGTAAAAATAATAAATAAAAAAAAAACATTTAAAATGAGTGCTACAGTAGGGGAAAACAAATTTTACCATGGGCATGTGAGATGCTCAGCAGGTAAATGCACTTGCCACCCAGTAAGCCTGATAAGCTGAGTTTGATCCCCAGAACTCACAGAGTAGAGGGAAAGAACTCCTGCAGGTGGTCCACTGACCTCCACTAGTGCACTGTGGCACACACACACACACACCCCACCCCTCTACACACAAATAAACAATCACTAAAAGAATTTAATATTGACAAGGGCAGTAAAGGACATCTGAGAAGAACATCAAAACCTTGTAAGCACTTTGTGGTCACCATCATTCCCAGACCAGGACATCCACGTCCTTGTGGATCAGACTGCCATCCTATAGGACTACAAAGACCAAAACAAAAGAGACAGTCTATGCTAAGCACATTTCTATAACCTCGGCATGCGAAAGGCTAAGAGAAGAGACGAGATCTTAATGCTTTGGCTCCTACACAGATTATTTTTATTTTAGCTCAATAAAATAAAGCCAGGCATAGCATCCAGCACTAGGGAGGCACATGCAAGGTGGATCTCTGAGTTTGAGGCCAACCTGATCTGCATAGCAAGTTCCAGGCTAGCTGGAGCTACTGGGAGACCCTGTCTCAAAAAATAATAAATAATAAATCCATTCTATCCAACACGGCAAAATAAGGGAAAAACAGGAAGGAGGGAGGGAGAGAGGGAGGGAGAAGAGGAAGAGAGGGAGGGGAGGAAAGGAGGGTATAGCCCCCATAAAATCAGAATACTGTCCACCCTGGGAATAGTGGTCACTTCCCTCAAGAGAGACAACTTGCAAAACCAGAGGACAGTCAACCTGCCACGTAATGGAGAGAAAGCTAGAAAGGGCAAGGCCAGAAGAGCCCTGAGAGACTCTCCCGAGAGGGAGGAGGAGGTACTGTGGCCACCAGGCCTTAAAAGGACAGAAAAGGGAGGCCCTGCAAGCACCTGTAGGGATACCAGGGGGAGCCGCCCGAGTACCCCAAGCAAGGCAATGGGAATGCATTCCTCAGTTTGGACAAATACAAGACTAGGTGTCCTAGGGCCTGAGTCAATGCTGTTTTCACTGATGGTGGAAGGATCTGAAGGGAAGGTCCAGGAAATCATGGAGGCCACAAAGGGCTCTGCCTCTTGTCTGAGTGACAAGCCAGCACACAAGCAGCTTTGGGAGAGGGACATGGCCATACTCTCCTTTGCCATCTTGGTTCCAAAGTACATTAAACCTGATTAACATTTGTGCTTTCGAGGAGTTCTGTGGAGAGCAGGCAGCCACCGCCAGAGTTCCAACAGAAGACAAACACTGTCTTTCGAACATAAACCATTAGTAACCTGCATGCCAGGGTCCTAGAAGCTCTTAAAGAACACCAAAAATGCCAGACGTGGTGGCTCAGGCCTTTAATCCCAGTACTCAGGAGGCAGAGGCAAGTGGATCTCTGTGAGTTTAAGGCCAGCCTGGTCTACATAGGGAGTTCCAGGCCGTCTGGGGCTACAGGAAGACCCTGTCTCAAAAAGACCAAAAAAAAAACACAAAAACCAAAAATGCTCCCAACGCTGCAACTCAGCAAGAATAGTTAAACCATGCTTTGTAGCCTTGTATCCTGAGCAGACAGGTGAGTCAGGTCTTCAGTGAGGGAGTGGAGCACTTAGAACTACCCATCCAGTTCACAGCAGGCTGCTATCCATCCTGTGGGTACCCTGCATACCAAAACCAAGGTCCTTCAGGCAGAGGACCAGGCAGTGACTACTGGGCCCACAGAGCCCATCTCACTTTTCTCACCAATTGACCTGGGCAATAAGGGCAGGTGAGCACACAAGCCCACTGCAAGCCTCCTCCTGCCTACTATTAACTCAGCACAGAAGTGAATCTACAGTGTGTCCTCACCAGGCTGTATGATCAACATACCCTACTACGGGGATCTCAGGATCTACCCAGAAAAACGTCCCAGTGCTGCAAAGAATGCAACAATGTTTTCTCTAATTGGATTTGTAACAGAAAAAGAAGAGAGGTCACCCCTGCCTCCATCAGGAAAGAATGAAACACTCGTTGAGCCTTCACACACTGACAAGATCCTGGTAAGTATAAGGGCCCCCAGCACAGTGGACTGACTGACTTTAAGTCTTGAAGGCATAGCTCTAAGTATGCAAAGCATCTGAAAAGCATCCAGAACCCTAGGCAAGCGGTTAACCTCCAGAGCAGGACTGGGATTAGGAGTGGTTGTCAAGGAAGAAAAAAATTTTGCCTGCATTTTTCTTCCCCTACAGAGAGTGTGTTCATATATTATTTATGCAATGAAATTTTCATTTACTCATTTAATTTTTTTTAAAGGAGAAAAACAGATCCTGTTCCACACAGTTTAATAATGAGTTTAAGAGTGATTTCTACTGGAAGCTGGCCTCTGCCTGCCAGGAGGCTGTGAGCTCAGCAGTGTGTAGACTGTTTCCAGCCAGCAGCTCCCTTCCCAACCCAGATCTTATTTCAATTTTACAGGCAACTCAGTCACTCTATGGAAACTCTGTGACGTTTCAGTTTTATTCCAGCTCAAGGCAGAGGGGAAGGGAAAGTATGTCATGGGGACTCTGGTAATCCAAAGGGACCGCCTTGGAGCAATTCCAGTTCTTCTAACCCACTACTGGTCTCCAACACCCTAGGCACATGGGCGTGCACGCACGCATGCCAGTAAGACAGCTCCCTCCTCTGACTTCCACAGAGGAATCAGGACCTGTAACATCAATCCCTTTTGCTAATGAAAAGAAGGAACCTAAACCACCCATTAGACAATACTGCGTTGTTATTTACTTACTGGAGCCACCTAACCACATAGGAGACTGACTGACTGACTGACTGACTGACTGACTGACTGACTGACTGGGTGGCATACAGGTGATCCAACCCAGGGCTTTATGCATGCTAGGAAAGCATATGACCAAAGAGCAACAGCCTCAGTGCAGACACTGTTGTTTGAATACTAACATACACCCCTCCACTCTCCCATCTTCAAATGCCACTTTCTGAGTCCTCAGAAACATACAATAATTAAGTACTGACTAGGCAAAACGAACCTACAGTCACAGAAACTCAGTATGTGGCACTTCCCATTGGGGCGAGGATTAGCGACCTAAAAATGATCACAAAGAACATTTCTGGGGTAAGAGTCTGGAGAGACCTCTCGGTAGTTAAAGTGCTTCTGCTCTTGCAGAAGACCTGGGTCCCATTCCCAGCAACTGTACAGCCACTCACAACTGCCTGTAATTCCAGTTCCAGAGGACTCAACTCACTCTTCTGCCTTCCTCAAGTACCAGTCACACACACACATACATACCCCACACACACATACACACAGATACACACACAGAGATACACACACATATATGCATAATAAAATAAAATAGCAGGCTGGAGAGATGGCTCAACAGTTTAAAAGCTAAGAATTGCTGCTCTTGCAGAAGACCCAGGTTCAATTCCCAGCACCAACACGGTGGCTCACAAAGGTCTGTGAACTCCAGTTGCAGGGGATTTGACACTGTCTTCTGGCCTCCTTGGGCACCAGGCACACACATGGTACACATGCATACATGTAGACAAACACTCATATACATAGATAAAAATATTTTTTTAATTATTTAAAAATAAGAATTTGAAAATAGGTAATAAGATTTAAATGGATGGAAGGACATGTGAATTAAGAACAGCAATCTGGGAAGGGTGTAGTGGTGCACACCTTTAATCCCAGCACTCAGGAGGCAGAGGCAGGCAGATCTCTAAGAGTTCGAGGCTAGCCTGGTCTACATAGCGAGTTCCAGGCCAGCTGGGGCTATAGACACCCCGTCTCAAAAATACTAAATAATAGTAATAATAATTTGAAGGGCTGGAGAGATGGCTCAGTGGTTAAGAGCACTGGCTGCTCTTGCAGAGAACCCGGGTTCAATTCCCAGCACCCACATGGTGGCTAAAAACCACCTGTAACTCCAGTTCTAGGGGATCCAACCTCTGGAATCAGGGGGATCAGGAATCCAGAGGATTCTGACCTCTGTGGGCATTGCATGACACAGGTGCACCTACCTACATGCAGGCAATACACTATACACATAAAATAAAAATAATTTTTTTAAAAATTGCAAGGAAGCCAGGCATGGTGGCGCACACCTTTAATCCCAGCACTTGGGAGGCAGAGGCAGGAGGATCTCTGTGAGTTCAAGGCCAGCCTGGTCTACATAGTGAGTTCAGGTCAGCTGGGACTACAAGAAGACTTTCTTCTGTCTCAAAAAGACCGAAAAAAAAAAAAAAAAAAAAAAACAGCAATGTATTTTCAACAGCAGAAAGGGAAAAAAACGGGAGAGGAAGTCCTGATCCTCTTGCACGTAGTTGCTGCTGCTGCTGCTGTTTTCACCAAAAGAGTTCGATGACTTCCCAATACAGAGGACAAAATGATGAATGAGAGATGCTGCTTCTTATCATCATTTGTTTTTTTTTTGTTTTGAAACGTAGCTGGGTGTAGTCACACATATCTGTGATCCCAGGCTAAGGCAGGAAGATGGGGATTTTAAGGCCAGTCTGGGATGCATCATAAGATATCTCAAGGCCAACCTGAACTATATATCCTCTCAAAACAGCCAAGCCAGTCAGGTGTGGTGGCACCTTTAGTCCCAGCACTTGGAAGGCAGAGGTGAGTGGATCTCTATGAGATGGAGACAGGGTCGAGACCCTGCTTAAAACAAAACAAAAGGCCTAGCCAAGAACTGAGAGACTGGGGAGATGGCTCATTCAGTAAAGTGCTTGCAAGCACAAGGACCTGAGTTCAAGTCCCAGAACCCATATTTTTTTTTAAAGTTGGGCACGATGCACCTTTTTTGTCTTTTTGAGACAGGGTCTCCCTGTAGCCCCAGATGGCCTAGAACTCAATATGTAGACCAGGCTGGCCTTCAGCTCACAGAGATCTGCCTCCTGAGTGCTGGGATTAAAGGCATGTGCCACCACACATGGCTTATCAATGCATTTATAATCCCAATGCTGGAGAGACAGAGATAGGCAGATCCACAGAGCTTGCCATCCAACCCAGCCTAGCCTAGCCTAGCCTAGCCTTGACAAACTCCAGACCAGGGAAATCGTCTTTTTTTCAAAAAAGGGGGTGGGGAAGGGCTGGAGATAGCAAGGTGGCTCAGAGGTTAAGAGCACTGGCTGCTCTTGTAGATAGACCTGCGCTGCATTCTGTTCCCAGCAATCACATGGCGGCTAACAAGCGTCCATAACTCCAGTTCCAGGGAATCTGATGAACGCCCTCTTCTGTCCTCCATGGGCGCTGCACGACACGGGTGTACTTAAATACAAGCAGGCAATACACACACACACACATAAAATAAAAATGAATTTTTTGAAGTGGACAGATAGTACCTGCAAAACACCACCCCAGGTTGTCCTCGTGCACACACGCACACGCACACACACACACACACACGCACACATACGCAAACATACAGACTAAAGCAGTCTGGAAATGTAACAGTGGTACAGTGTTCATCTAGCATGCATACAGCCCTGGGTTCTAGCCCCAACATCACACAAAAAGTTACATGCTGGTCTAACTTTTCCCCATACCAGAGAGCAGATTCCCAGCAGTTCAAGCACAGTCAATGCACAGTTCAAGGCACAAGTGACATGGAAACGAAGGAGACCCAGTCCCACCATCCCCCAGCACTCAGCAAATGCAGGAGGATCACTTCAAGCTTGAGGCTATCCTGAACTACACAGAAAGTTCCAGGTCATTGAAAGCTGCATAAAACTCTATCTCGAAAAAACAAAAACAAATGTGCAAAGATTGTGTTTCAGATCTACACAGCCAAATTCTTCCTAATCCTTCTTACACATCTAAAACGGACATTCCTTGAGTTGGTGTGTTCCCATACAGCTTTGCCCATGTGAACAGAGTACATTCTTGCCAAATACTCATCTTTTGAGTACCAAAATAAGAGCATGAATCACATGGAGAAGAAACCAGCTTTTCAGAGGCCCCAACGATGAGTTCAAACTCTGTTCCCTCTACAGAGCTCTCTACGAGACTCCCGTTGCAAGTTTATCCAAGCAGTACTAACAGCAAGTTACCCAAAAACATCAGGAAGAGCTTGGAGTGTCAACACACAACTGCAATTCCAGGACTGGGAGACTGAGGCAGAAGACAGATGGCTAGGGGAGGGATGGAGGGGAGGGGAGGGGAGGGGAGGGGAGCATTCTGGTCTAAAATTTAGAATGTTAAAAAGAATAGGCATAGGTCTGTGAGATGGCTCAGCAGGTAAGGGCACTTGCAGATGACTTCTTGAGTTCTATCCCCAGAACCCATATGGTAGGACAGAAGCGACTCCTTGAAAGTTATCCTCTGACCTCCACATGAATGCTTTGGCACAGGCGTGTTCCTCACACACGAAATAAATAAGTAAATAAATAAATAAATAAATAATCTTTGGAGGGGGTCTTTGGGTCTCCCTATAGCCCCAGCCGGCCCGGAACTGGCTGTGTAGACCAGGCTGGCCTTGAACTCACTAGAGATCTGCCTGCCTCTGCCTCCCGAGTGCTGGGATTAAATGTGTGCACCACCAAACCCGGCATGCACAATCTTTTTTAAAGAAAAAGTCAATATCCAAAAGCACCTAAATAATCAAGGTTTATTCTAAATAAGTCCTATATTTAAGTAGAAGTTGAGCAAAATTAAACTAAGTCAAATTGTATATATAAGCTATAAATAATAAAACTTCTTAAATTTAACTCAAATGACAAACTTAATGCCTTGCTTTAAAACAAAACACATGCTCTTCTTGAAAATCCTACTCAAACTTCCTTTTAATCCACCTGCCCCCTATTCTTTCTGCTGCAAAGCTATAATCAAACGGTCATCCCTGGTGTCAAGAAGGCAATGAACATGCTGTTGCAGTCATTTAAATCCACTGTGCAAGGATGGAAACATGGCTCAGTGGGCAGAGTGCTTGCCTCACAAGTGTGAGGACCTGAGTCTGAGCCCCAGCACCTGCATAAAAAGCCAGAACAATGGAAACCCCAGTGCTGAGAGGTGGAAACAGGAAAATCCCTGGGACTCACTAACCAGCCAGACTGGCCAATTGGTTCATCTCCGGGCCAATGAGAGACCCTCTCTCAAAGGAGGTGTCCAACATACCTAAAGATGACACCCAAGGCTGTCCTCTGGCACGCAGCACAAAAGCTGGATAGACGTGACTACCTGTGATTCCAGCACCCACAAGGCAGAGACAAGGGATCCCTGGGGCAAACTGGCCCACTAGACAGGTGAGCTCTGGGTTCTGTGAGAGACTCTGCCTCAATAAAGAGCAACTGGGGAATATATCCAATGTCAACTTCAGGCCTCTACAGGCATGCACGCTCACACACACACACACACACGCCCATACACACACGCACGCACATGAGGCTGTAAGATGGAGTGGAGAAAGGATGCTCCTCCATGTCAAGTCCAAGCACAACCTTCTGGACCTGGTCACACTGAAAACAGAACTGGTCAGGAAGGCTTCATGTGTCAGTCTAGCTTGCTATCACTTCCCAACTGAGGACCAAATTCAAGATCAGTTGCCCAGAGGCCACAAACCAAGCCCTGAGCAGGCTGGGGGATATGGCTCAGTGGTGCTGTGCTTGTCTCTCATGTACAGTCTTGAGTTCCATCCCTAGCACCAAGAACACAAGGATAGAACCTATGAAGAAATTCTGAAATTTCCATGAGGCTAACTCAGGAGAAACAGCCTCTAATTCATCTTATCTCCCAGCTGTGACAAGTCACAAAAGAACTCACAAAAGAATCAGGGCTCTAGAGATCAGCCTGATCCCTCCCGTCTCTTCGACAGCATCTCTCGTCAACAGCCTGAACCCTACCTGAACACATCCAGCAATGGGAAACTCACTGCTGCATGGGCCATCGTGTCTACAGCCTGCCAGGTGGAAAAGCCCTCTGGGTGCTGAACAGACATCTGCTCTCCCAGTCTGGGGATTAAAGGGAATCTTTTGTTTTCTTTAATTTATTTAAATTTAATAACCACATGATGAGAAGAAGCATTTCATTACAGCTTTAACATATTCAGTAACACATTCCAGAGCAAGGATACATCTCTTTCAAAAGTGGCTGTAAATTTTTAGGTTCACAGTTGAATTAATAGTTATACAATACTGAACTCAGTATAAACCCTATAAGACATAAAATTGAATGAGTTTTTATCCTTTAAAGAAGATCTCCATTTCATTTTAAAATATGCTGTTTCCTACCCTTTTTTTTTTTTTTTTGTCTTTTTGAAGCAGGGTCTCCCTGTAGCCCCAGCTGTCCTGGAACTCACTATGTAGACCAGGCTGGCTTACATAGAGATCCGCCTGCGTCTGACTCCCAAGTGCTGGGACTACAGGCATGCGCCACCACACCTGGCAATTTCCTACATTTTTAATGCTACTAACGCTTAGATGTTTGCACATGTGTCTCTAATCTCTGTGTATCTGATTATTACTAGTCACAGTTGGTTACACTCAGATCCTTGGCACCTGAGTATGGATATAAAGTCATCAGGTAGATTTCACTGGTAATGTTTATCACCTCTACTATTTAACATGAAGTAAATTTTTATGCTTCCTCCTCAAATATGTCTTTTTAAAAATTTGTTGATTTTTTTTTTGTGTGTATACCATATAGAACATCCTACACAATCTTATTTATCTATATACCCACTTCCCAAATGGCACCTTCCCATAGCCTCCCCATCCCCACTGGAGCCCATATACTCTGTCATCCCTCTTACTGTCCACTGTGTTGTCAGCACCCCCAGCCATTCCCCAGTGCTTGTCCATCTGCTGAATCTAGTCAGCCTATCTGGAGATCCTTGTTTTAGGAAAATCAGCTGTTCCTCATCTAGCAGCAATCAGTTGTCAATATTCCTTTAGATAAGATTGGGGTCTGCTGTTCATTTTCCCACTTCTATGCTGGGTTACTGTCTGGGAGATTTTTGGGCCACCCCAATAACTCAAAGGAAGGTAATTCCTGTCTAGCATTGTTTCTTGTCATGTAGCCTTTAGCTATACATATGGACTCTTAAAAAATTATATTTGAGCTCTCTGCTCCTGGTTTGGGCCCTGCGCCATTCCTGGTCTTGGGTCCCCAGACACCTGGGGAACCGGTGCTACTTCCTGACCCTTTTTGCCCAGGCCAGCTTGGTGCCTTCCTTGGGCTCCAGGAGCACTGCTTTTGCAGGACCTGGCCCCGCCCTCACCTCTCCCTGCTTCCCGGACCTGAACCACTGGCTAATTCTCCTGGCCCGCTCTCCTGCCCTCAGGCCTCTCTTGGGGTAAGTCTACCGAGCAGCCCTCCGCGCCTTGACTCCCCCAGCCGGGCTCACCCTTCCATCTCCCCCCGCTGTTCTCTACTCCAAGCTTGGGCCCTGTGCCATTCCTAGTCTTGGGGCCCCAGACACCTGGGGAGCCAGTGCTGCTTCCTGACCCTTTTCACCCAGATCAGCTTGATGGCTTCCTTGGGCCCCAGGAGTACTGCCTCTGGACCCGGCCACGCCCTCACCTCTCTCTGCTTCCCTGGTCCTGCAACACCCGCCAGCCTCTTTCTGGGGCTGACAGCCTCTTTCTGGGGCTCCAAGGCTTACCTTTCCTCTCCCTGATCCTTTGCATACAGTACAACACAGCTACTCAATCCACTTCCTGAGAAATCTTGGGGCTTCTTCCCAACCATCTGACTTTGCATCCCTGTGTGGCACGCCCACAGAGAGGATCTAAGGTCAGTCCAACACCCAAGTTCTTGAGGCCAAAATCATTCTTAGAAAATTCCAGACCTAAGGAGAAAGTCTGAAAACTTATGACCCACATTGGAATTGGGCCACCTCGGAACTCCTGAAGACAAAATCAATCCGGCCTCGACAAGATAAAATCAAAAGAGAGAACCAGAAGCTTAGACGAACCAGCTCTTCATACCCAAAAAGTAAACCACA